GGCTTTTAAAATTTGGAATAGGTAAGAAAATAGCCATTATCCCTAATGCCTTCTTTCCAGAACTGCTGCTTCTGGCAATAAATGGGCTTTGTGCAGAGCTGAGGGTATGGGAAGGTTGGGTTACATCAAAACATGGAGGAGCAATACCTTCTGTATCTGCCTTTCTTTGTGGCAGGAGGGAGGCCGTACCGTGGCAGCAGCACTTTGCCCTGCCTTGTGTGCCCGCACCGGTGGCCACGATGCGGTTATTAATTACTGCAGCCCGGGCTCCTGGTCCTGCCCGAGGTGGGAAGTGGAGGCAGAGAGAGAGCAAGCTGCCAACTTGGAAAGGTGTTCCTGGCAGAAGAGCTTCCCCTGCCTCATCTTTATCTCCTGTGATTTGTGCTTGACGCGCCGGCTGTTGTCTTCCAGCTCAGCTCCTTCAGGAGAAATCTGGGTTGGATGCCCAGAAGCTGACTCAGTGATGGGCTTGCTTAGATGGAGTCAGCAGGAGCTTAAAGTGCTGCAGGAGAGACCTGCGTCTTTGGGGCTGGTCTTCAAGTGATGTGAAGGAGATAGTGGCTCTTCTCAAAAAATACCTCCTTCTTTCCTCCTTCTCGATTCCTGGGGTGTCCCCTGAGCTGTCTGGTGTCCCCCAGTGTGCTGCCTCGTGTCTGGGAGCTCCTCTGGGTTGCTGGGACGTGGTATGGCAGAGAAGGGGAAGGGAGTCACCTACCAGCACCTCCAGATCCCCATGGCTCGCTCTGAGGATGTGGTGGGGCTTCCCACCACCCGGTCCCGAGGCCATGGACAGTCTGGCACCACAAATCCCTCTGGATTCCTCTGGTTATTCCCAGCGCTCTGTAAACACCACGCCTTGGGCAGAGGGAGGTGATAAAGTGCAGATGGGGAGGATGCAGTTGTTTATTTTCCTTCAATCATCCTTTTGGCATGCCTGGCTCCAAACAGCAGAAGAAACTCTGGTTTTTTTTCTTGCAGCAGCAGAGTCCTGTGACCCGTAGCACGGGCTTTGTGAAACCCCACCAGGCAACGAGGCCACCCTTTGGGTCGTAGCCAACTAATACTTCCTTTTTATTTTGCTATCAGAATTAAAATTTTTGATGAAAGGCGGTGGGGGAAAGTCGTCTAAATCCTCTCCCTGCTAATCTGCATATTTTAGAATTTTCCCCCAAAGCCTGGCAGTTACTCCCTAAATCTCCTCTTAAGTCTCCGCGGAGAGCCGTTATTAAGACTTAGCAATCTATTAGCAACTCGGTGAGTCGTTGGAGGTGGGCTTGTCAGGAGAGCTTTTAATTGCTGGGCTGAGCCAAGCCTTCTCGCTGTGGGGCTCATTGTGGTGTGAACTTGTGTTCTGGAAGGTGAAAAATACGGAGAGATGAGCAACCTGGTCCAGTGGGCGGTGTCCAGTGGGAGGATTGGAATGAGATGAGCTTTAAGATCCCTTCCAATCCAGACCATTCTGTGATTCTATGTGGCATGAAGCCTTCCAGCTACTGGCGTGGAGCACTGGAAGAGGCTGCCCAGGGAGGTGGTGGAGTCTCCATCTCTGGAGACTTTCAAAGCCCACCTGGACACGTTCTCGTGCAACCTGGTCTGGGTGGACCTGCTTTGGCAGGAGGGGTGGACTAGGTGATCTCCAAGGGTCCCTTCCACCCCATATCATTCTGTGATGGTGTGACACCCTGGGTTGGGCAGGGGAATGGGAAACCAAATGCTGGGAGCGGTGGGAGGCTGGTTAGACCATGGAGCAGGGACTTCTCCCTCGGCCACCTCCACAGAGGGCTCTGGTGCACCATGGAGGGGGGTTGCCACCTTCTTTCTAGGAGGTGCTTCAAATAAATATTCATTTCACCCCTTCAGGGTGAAAACCCACCTAGGAGTTGCTGGTGATAACTTGGTGGGATCCAGCTGACACACCACACTTGGGGTTTGTGTTCTGGGGCTTCACATAAAATCACACAATGGTTTGGGTTGGAAGGGACCTTAAAGACCATCCAGTCCCACCCCCTGCCCTGGGCAGGGACACCTCCCACCAGACCAGGTTGTTCAGAAGCCCTGTCCGACCTGGCTTTGAACCCCTCCAGGGATGGGGCAGCCACAGCTTCTCTGGGCAACCCGAGCCATGTCTCACCACCCTCAGAATAAAGAATTTCATCCTAATATCTAATCTAAATCTACCACGCTCCAGGTTTTCCATGGCTCGTCTTGCAGAGTAAATACTTGTGTATATTTTTCCAGGAGGGTTTTTAACCAGAGCTTCGTTGCTTCTGTGCCAATGCCTGTGTTTGGCAAACCCTGTCTGGCATCCTGGAGGGATGCTCGCCAGGAACACCGGGCTCCAGCTCCTGCCCGGGGACACGATGGGGACTTCAGCCTTGGGGACAGTCTGTCTCTGCTCCCCGGTGCTGCCTTGGCATGGCCTCTTGCTCCCAGGGTGCAGGTTGGTAATGGCTGTGGTTGCCACCTCCAAAATGCAGCAGATACACTGGGGAATCTTTTCTGGGTCTAGTCTGGGTCTCATGCAGCGATAGGACGAGGGGTAATGGTTTTAAATTGAAAGAGGGGAGATTGAGATGAGATCTCAGGAAGAAATTCTCTGCTGTGAGGGTGGTGAGAGCCTGGCCCAGGTTGCCCAGAGAAGCTGTGGCTGCCCCATCCCTGGAGGGGTTCAAGGCCAGGCTGGATGGGGCTTGGAGCAACCTGGTCTGGTGGGAGGTGTCCCTGCCCAGGGCAGGGGGTTGGAACTAGGTGGTCTTTAAGGTCCCTTTCAACCCAAACCATTCTGTTTCTAGTTTCTTGTTCAGACGATGTGCTGTTGCTGCTGCAGGTGGTGGTGGTGGGCCAAGGGGGTGGCCAGCCCATGCCAGGCTGGTGGCATTCCCCACCAGGGCACATGTCCCTGCCTGATCCATGTTTGGGGAGCCGGTTGTGCACAGTGGAGGTGGGATTGGTTCTGGTGGCCCCACATCCCAGCGGGGCAGGCACAAGGCTGTGAGGAACTTTCTTTTTCTGCTCTAAGAAGTTGCTGCTGGAGGTTTGAGGATGGTGGTCAGCACACCAAACCATTGTGTAAAAACACTTCTTTAATTAAAGATATGGGTGAGAAGCAGGGGGAAGGGAAAGCTGCCACTTCCTTTAGGCAGACCCTGCTCCTGGTGCACCAGCATCCGTTCAGTTCCTGCTGCTCCAGGTATGTGAATTAGAGTGGCATAGATTTTTATTTTTTAATTTATTTTTTTCACACTTTCCCTGAGCAGCGGTTAATCCTGGGCCTTGCTGCCTTAGCAGGGTTGTTTTCAGAACGTCTTTTCCTTAAACAGGGCTTTTCTTGCAGCTCGACAAGCCTTTTGGACAGCCGGGATGCTGAGCCTGACCCTGGGAATGCCAGGAGCATCTGCTCACCCTGGGCTGTGCCCGTGCTGGGATAGGGCATGGGACAGGGATTTGGCATCCTTGGCACCTGCCCTGGTGGGGTTTCAGAGCAAACAAGCTCTGGGGTTGAGGATTAATAAGACTAAGTGCAGTATGAACAGTATCTGCTGGAGTTTTAGCAGCCCTGATGCCTGTTAACGCCCTTGAACCATGAACAGTGACAAATGTCTTCCCTGCTCGTGTTTTAAAATCCAAAACCTTAACTCTAAGAAAACCTTAGCCTGGCCTAAGGCACATTTTTCCCCCAACTCCATCTCCTCTTAGTGGGCATTTTAAATGGACTTGATAATTTTAAGTTCAGCCTTGCAAAACGCTTCCTGGTGCCAGCCAGGTCTCTCCTCCCTTGGCTGCCAGCGTCCGTGGCGAGGACACTTCGTTATATGCAAGGTGGAACTTGATGATTTTTATTTATTTATTTTTTAAACTATTGCACAGTTTTGTTTCTTTTGAAAAATGGACTTTTCTGGCCCACCAAGGACCTTGGGTATGCTGGACAGCCTGGAGCTGATGGAGTTTGTGGTGTTGACCTGTCCTCCTGAGAAGCTTCCCCAGGGCTGTAGGGACCCTCCTTGCCTTCTCCTCATCAAAAGTTTCTGAATAAAGTTATAGGAAGTTGGAATTTTGATGTTTTAGAGTCCCATTTCAGTGGAAGAGCGCTGTTACTTTCAGTATATTCTGTGTTGTATTTACTCTGTGTTATTTTAACACACGCTCCATTGGATTGGGAGGATCTATCTTTATTTTGCGGGGGCCGGGGGGGTGACTGGGTCTCTGTTGGAGCCCCGCGTTGCCGGTTGAAGGTATCTCCCTTGGCTTCATGCAAGGAGTGCTCCTCTTCCCCTCTGCTTGAGTTTATTCTACTGCCATTCCCCTCCTGGCCGCTGCCGAGCAGAGGGGGTGTCATCAACCCACTGTGACACCAGGTTATCATTCGCTCGTGGCAGCTCATTCTGCTTTAAAATAGAATCCCAGGAAGACAAGCTGACGTCCCCACCATCCCACGTGTCTTTTTGAGGAGTCTGTGATGTGGAACTGGCCGCTTTGTTATTTCTGGTTTTAGCTGAGATTTGAAGATAGCAGAAGTATACCTTTTATTTTTTGGTTTTTTGGTTTGTTTTTTTTTTTTAAGCTAAATCCCAAGTTTGCACGCACCAGGGTGGTGATGAGGTGGTTTTGGTGGACTTGAGGGTTTGACAGGAGAGCAAGTATAAAGAGGGTACAGTTTCCATCGTCCTCTGTGGGGTCCTGGGGTAAAGCCTGGAGCCACTGTAGGAACCCAAGGCTGAAGGACTCTCCAGGTTGGGACTAGGAAGAGATGCCTAGGAGATCATATTCCTTAATGACTTGAGGTGCTTGGTAAAGATATATTCTCCATCAAAAAGGAAAAATTGCCCGGCAGACAGGTTGGAAATGCAGCCAGGGGCCCTCCTGCGTAGGGCCAGGAGTGTGGTGGACACGAGCAATGACCTGCCCCTGTGGGGTGTAGGACAGGCTGTGGTCCTGGAGGGTGGCTGAGCAGTGGTGAGGACCCCAGATTAGCGAGCTCAGTGTTGCCTTGGTTTTGCTAAATGACCTTATGTGCCTCTTCGTTTTCCGTGCCCGAGTGGAGAAGTGAATTTCTGAGGTTCCAGCTGCCTTATTTCCAACGAACAGCGTGGTGCGTTCAGAAGCTGGGAGCTGTTAATGCAAATATTCGACTTTTTTTTGAGCTAGGAGCTGATTTTTCCCTTTCCTGGTTGCCCCGACAGTGTGCTGGGGAGGAGAAGCGGGTGGGCACGCGCACCGTGGTGGTCGGGCACCGTCCCGTTTCGGAAACAGACGCGTACGTGGCACAGAAGTTCTGCGACAACAGGATCGTCTCCTCCAAGGTGAGCTCGCTCGGCTCCTTCAGGGCCATCCCACCTGTGGATTCCCCCTCCTTTTTACTTTTTATTTGATGCTTGGTTTTGAAATTGAAAAGCTCTGAATCACAGAATCACACAGGGTTGGAAGGGACCTCAGGAGATCATCTAGTCCAACCCCCTGCCAAAGCAGGTCCACCCAGAGCAGGTTGCACAGGAACGTGTCCAAGTGGGTTTGGAATGTCTCCAGAGGAAACTCTACCACCTCCCTGGGCAGCCTCTTCCAGGGCTCTGCCACCCTCAAAGTAAAAAAGTTCCTCCTCATGTTTAGGTGGAATTTCCTCTTGTCCTGTCCCTGGGCACCACTGAAAAAAGACCAGCCCCATCCTCTTGACACTCACCCCTTTTAAGTATTTACAAGCATTGACCAGGTCCCCCTTCAGCCTTCTCTTCTCCAGACTAAAAAGACCCAAGTCCCTCAGCCTTTCCTCATAAGGGAGATGCTCCAGGCCCCTCATCATCTTTGTAGCCCCCTTGAATTCCTCAAGGATGGGTGTAGAGGTCCCTTCACAAGCGGAGCAGCCTGGTCCATACCTCCCACCATCGCTCCAGTCTCTCTATTACTCTTTTTTTTTTTTAATTCCTCTCAATCCTGCTGGGGGTACCTATGAGTTCTTTTCTTCTAGGCTGGATGAGAGCAAAGCACATGGACACGTTGGTTTTGTTGGGTTGGTTTTTTGGGTCATTTTTAAAAAATGTTTTCTGGCATCCTCTTTGGGAGGAAAGAGGAGGTTAAGTGTAATCCAGGGTGAGACAACAGCAACTCAGATTTGCAAAAGGGAGAGGGGAATTATTTTATAAATGGACAGAAAGATACGATTACCCTATTTGATTTTTTTGTTGTTGTTGTTCTGTAGTGTTTTTTTTTCCTCTCTCGAGATAGATAGGACGAAAATAACCATGCTCTGTTTATCCCCTTTGGATGAAAGGGGAAACATTCATACGGTATTAATGCAGCTTTTGTTTATGGTGGAAAACTGCGATGACACCCGTCTGCCTTCTGCTTAGCTTTTTTTTCCGTGACATTCATGAAGCTATTTCAAAAGATTTGAAGCCAATTCGAGTAAAATATCAAACAAGTGGCAGCCGATCTTGTCAACACAGCTGGATACGTATTGCGATGCTTGGGATTCGGGATGCTCAGCGTACAGTTGGGCTTCAGTTTTACTGTACTTGAGCTGTAAGATGGGGGGGTTTCCCTCTCTTTTCTTTTTATTACAGCTTGGATCCTGTTTGTTTTTGTCTCTGAGCTGTCTGAGTTTATACTCGGGAAAAATTTTATGTCTTACCATGTGTAATGGGTGTAGCATTCCCATTGACGTTTCCCTGGCACACAAGAGGGTCCTTCAGAGAGGACGTTGTCCCCTCTGTCACTTCCCTCTCTGACAAGTGGTTTGTTTTAGCACTAATTTTAGTTCTTCCCTGATTTATTTGTGAATGTTGCATCCTTGCTCTTTTTTTCCATTGTATGTTTGCTGGGGATGGAGTCTTCTCGCCTGACCAGTCTCCTTTTATAATTAAGTGGACATTGGTCATGAGACTTGGCTGCTTGTTGTCCTTTGCTTATTCCAGGCAGCCTGAAAGATCAGATATTAGACCCATTATTTTCCATGTTGTTCTTAAATTTTGCATGTTTTCCAAAGAAAATGATTCAGCAGCCTTCTTGAAATGATAGTGAGATCTTATGGCAGCTTTCCAGTGTCTGAAGGGGCTACAGGAAAGCTGGGGAGGGACCTTTTACATGGGCATCTAGTGATAGGATGAGGGATAATGGCTTCAGACTGAAAGAGTCTGAAAGAGGGGAGATTTAGATGAGATATTATGAAGGAATTCTTCACTCTGAGGGTGGTGAGAGCCTGGCCCAGGTTGCCCAGAGTTTTATGTGGGCATCTAGTGATAGGATGAGGGATAATGGCTTCAGACTGAAAGAGTCTGAAAGAGGGGAGATTTAGATGAGATATTATGAAGGAATTCTTCACTCTGAGGGTGGTGAGAGCCTGGCCCAGGTTGCCCAGAGAAGCTGTGGCTGCCCCATCCCTGGAGGGGTTCAAGGCCAGGCTGGATGGGGCTTGGAGCAACCTGGTCTGGTGGGAGGTGTCCCTGCCCAGGGCAGGGGGTGGAACTGGATGATCTTTAAGGTCCCTTCCAACTCTAACCATTCTATGATTTTGTGCAGATATTTCCCTTATTGTAGCCAAAGTCCCCAGTCTTGGTTTGTTTGTGACCCCCCCACTCTCTCCCCACAGTACACCCTCTGCTGTTTGTGACCCCCACTCTCTCCCCACAGTACACCCTCTGGAACTTCCTCCCGAAGAACCTTTTTGAGCAGTTTAGAAGAATTGCCAACTTCTACTTCCTCATCATCTTCCTCGTGCAGGTAAGAGCTTTGATGCGAGGGCTGGGTTTTATTTACGTATGGATAGTAAGCACAGCTTGAGTGAGAACTGAGGTTCAAAACCAACTCTGTTGGTGCTTATAAGCATCTGGTTTTTAATTGGGAGCTGTGTTATCATTCTGGCACACAGGTATAATAATTGAAATATTTGGGCCTGCCTGAGGTGGTGTTTGAATGACTGCTGAAACAATTTTAAAAGCATCTTAACTCTCAAGATCAATCAACCAGTGAAAATACATTTGATACAGAACCAAGATCTATTTTTTTTTAATCGTCTTTATGGTTTCTGTTGCCTAACTGTGTATTTTCCCAAGTTATATGACGTTTCTGTATCTGTTACGGTGAGTTTCAAAGCAAGCAGGAGAGAGAGGCTGTAAATCGTCTTTATTATTTCTGTTGTATAACTTTTCCCAAGTTACATGACATTTCTATATCTGTTACGGTGGGTTTCAAAGCAAGCAGGAGAGAGAGGCTGTACTCAGGGAAATTCAGCAAATGCATAGCACGAGCTTTGGGAGCGTGGAGCTTCAGGAAGCTGCTCTACACAGCCAAAATAGCAGATCTGATACACGGACAAGCTTTTTCTGCTCTGCTTTGTGGCTGTGGTTAAGGGGGATATCCTGTACTCAGGGAAATTCAGCAAATGCATAGCACGAGCTTTGGGAGCGTGGAGCTTCAGGAAGCTGCTCTACACAGCCAAAATAGCAGATCTGATACACGGACAAGCTTTTTCTGCTCTGCTTTGTGGCTGTGGTTAGTTACACCCATTTGAGCAAACCCGAATGTTTGGGAAAATCACTGCAGTGCATTTACTCGCCTGTTAAATCCTGTGCTTGGGCCTGGGGCTCAGCAGACGACCTGCTCTAGGGCTGAAAATCAGTGTCAAAAACTCTACTCCGGCAAATTAAATGTCACCGTGCAGCTACTGTGAACTTTAGGTGACTTCTCCAGGGTTTTGGTGGTTCAGGTCGGGGGCATCGCTCTGTGCTGCGCGTTCAAAAGTAGAGTGCCTGAAATGTTTTATCCTGAGAGAAAAGAGATAGGGTTTATAGCGATTTTGGTGGCAGTTGCAGAAAGGGGGGATCCCAAGCTGACGGCGGAGGATGGCTCCTCCTGGCAGTGCCTTGTGAAAGACCAGTTTCCCCAGCATCAGCTGGCTCCTCTCCATCACTGATTTCCCTGGCCTTGCTCCACTTTGTCAGAGGGAATTTGTAATTTGCCTTGAACTGAAGCGATGCCCCGGAGCTGGGATGTCCTTTTTGTGTCACTGGCCATTTAGTGACGCGGTATTATATTTTATCTGTCGACCCTGTGGCCATGAAGAAAATGGGATATTCTTGATTTTGCTTACAAAACCCGTTGCGATTGAGCTGCTTGCCCACTTTAGGCACAGGGGTATGCTGGTGAGAGAAGAGCCTTGCTATTCCTCCTTGGTTTTATTCTGTGATCTGTGATTACCTCTAAAAAAAGGAAGCAACCTTCATGCTTTATTAGAGGAAAGAAGAAACCCAACCGAGCAAAACCCAACCTGACAGCACTAATCCACTTGCTGCCCTATAGACTAACCGACTGTTTTCCAGCACTCCTCCTTCTGGAGATGTCATTTGCCTGAAAAAAGCACTCAGGGCCGCTCTGTTCATTTAGAATATCCAGGATTATACCTTGATAAATGGCATCTATAGCTTAAATGTTGGTGCTTAGCTTTAAATTACTTTAAATTAATAGAATTGCCCTGCGTGCCGCATTTGGAGCAAAGTGTCACGGCGTTGGGGAATTACCTGGTGCATCTGCTCTATCTGCTGCTGAAACCCTTCATCACATGTCTATTATTCTGTGACTCCCAACTTGGATCGTGTTTTAGTGAAAGGAAGAGAAGAGAAGGTACATGCATTAAACATAAAACACCTCTCAGTGCAGTAACGGGAGCTGTTTCTTTGCTTCATCTCTTGCAACGCTCAAAGGAAACCACGAGTAAACTCCTGGAGGGAACGGCTGTCCTGGAGTAAGGGTAGCCCCAGTGTTTTGTAGACAGACCAAGTTGACAACTTTAAGCTGATTTAGGAGGCGCCAGGAATGAAGAATGTCCCTTTTCATTGACGGAGATGACTTCTGAGCTGTGGTCTTCAGTTTCTTAAACAATGAGTTGGGAAGAAACTATCAAGTAACAGGAGGGTTTTGTCACTTTTAAGTGGATCCAAATGAAGCTGTTGAAGTCCTAAACCAGCTCAAAAATAGCTTCAAAGGAGTCTGCCTTTGATGTTCTGGCTCGTTGCTCCTGTGTCCCTTGGCTTCCCACCAGCTGTGAAGAAGAGCAGTATCCAGCCACGGGATGCGCAGGGAGTGCAGCCTCCCAGTGCACAAACGAGTTATTCTGGGGGCTTCATCAAATATTTGTGTTCATACATCTATAATACAGCATTTTTGTGGACAGAGATCATATTATTTGTTTAAACAAACACACACAACTGCATCTTGTCCAGTGCAGAAAACTCTCTGGGCAGCAGGAGGTCCTTTCCCTTGCCCTTCTTAGCTAAAAGCCAGATTTCTTTTTGTATTCCCAAGATTTGTCCATTTTTTTTGCTAGGTAACTTTTGACTGATTGGCCTAAACATCAGTGATGCCACCTTAGTGTGTGATGTGTCTGTCTTACACTTGGCACTGTCCTCGCTCGAGGTTGTTCCTCCAAAGTCTGGTTTCTACCAGACTTTCTGTTTGTTAACACTTTTTTTGTTACACCCATTTCAGGGAGCCAGGGCTTTGTGTTCCTGGAAATATTTACTGTGTTTATCTTGGTTTATCCTCATGTCAATTAACTCATTCACCACTTACCTGGCTGCTTCTTGTGGAGTAACCTCTTTGATACCTTTTGGCTCTTCTCTCTTTGGGTCCGATTGTGCAGTGTGTGGCATTTCATGGTTAAAAGTTTCCACCCTGCTGATAAGAGCAGCTTATCTGGCCTTAAAGCAGCTTTTTACGGGCAGCCTAAAACAATAAATATACAGATGCTGCTGTTTGCGAGCGTGCCAAAAAAGCGGAGGGAGACAAAGTCCCTTTGTGGGGACACAAAGCCTTTCTGCTGAGCTTCCCCATCCCTGTCGTCACAGCCCTCACCATCTGCCTCTCGTGCTCCCATCCTCTCGGGGGACAAAGGGAAAAATGGCCAATTTTGCGTGCTGTGGTTTGGAAGGTGGGGCCAGGGCACAGCGTGTCCTCCTTTTGCATTATTCCCTTCTGGTTATGAACCTGTTCTGCTGTTCTTCCCCTCCGAGCCAAGTCATGACCTCTTGGAGTGAGTCCTGGACCTGTTGGAGCGGGTCTGGAGGAGGCCATGGAGATGCTGGGAGGGCTGGAGTCCCTCTGCTGTGAGGACAGGCTGAGAGATTTGAGGGGGTTCAGCCTGGAGAAGAGAAGGCTCCGGGGAGATCTTAGAGCCCCTTCCAGTCCCTGGAAAGGAGTTACAGGAAAGCTGGGGAGGGACATTTTACAAGGGCATGTAGTGATAGGATGAGGAGTAATGGCTTCAGGCTGGAAGAGAGGAGATTGAGATGAGATCTCAGGAAGAAATTCTTCGCTGTGAGGGGGGTGAGAGCCTGGCCCAGGTTGCCCAGAGAAGCTGTGGCTGCCCCATCCCTGGAGGGGTTCAAGGCCAGGCTGGATGGGGCTTGGAGCAACCTGGTCTGGTGGGAGGTGTCCCTGCCCAGGGCAGGGGGGTTGGTACGAGATGAGCTTCAAGGTCCCTTCCAACCCAACCCATTCTGTGATTCGATGATACAGTCAGAAGAAGCAGTGATTTCCCACAGCCCGAAGGTTTAATTAAGGATGAAGAGCTTGGTCTTTGCTGCGGCGCTGGCTCGAGGCTGAGCTCGGGAAGGATCCAGCTCTCCTCCCCACGGCCCTCCTGCGGTCACTGCGCTTCAATTGTGCTCTTAACTCACAATTTCAGAGCTTAATGGCAATATATGGATTTACATTTTGCTTCAATATTCATGTTCTGTTCTGCCATATATTTCTGAGGTAATTTGGGCTGATGCAGGTTATTTTTAACCTCTTAGTGTCAGTGGTTCAAGACGACTGTGGTGGTGTCCTCCATCTCATAACCTGCCATGTTTTAGGGTTCAGATGTGCCCCATCTTCACTGCCAAAGAGGAGAAACAGCCCTCCTGCAGCTCAGTGAGAAATGAGGGTGTTTTTCACTTTGTGCGTTGCTGCTGCCTCTTCCCCATCCTCCTTCCCTGCCTGGGTCCTCTCCAGCACATCCCATGGTGGGAGCAGCCTTGTGGCATCCACGCTTTGAGTAGTTGTGTTTGTGTAACCTATCCCCAAGAGCTTTTGTTTCCCAATAGAGCAAGGTCAAATGTATGTTTTAAGCTACTTCTGATAGGGTTTTCCCACCTGAGGACATCCCGTGGTCTTCAGGAGGAGGTTTTGTATTCTTCTGGAGATGGAGGAGAGCACTCCTGGGGATGTCCGTGCCTGTCCTCGTGTGCCCCATCCTTCCCTCCCTCCTCTGCTGGACCAAGTGGGATGAGCACCCTTTTTCCCCCCGTTACCAGAGTTTTTGTTTCTTCTGCTGCCTGAAAACCAGTTGTCAGCAGTAGTTTTTTTCTCTCTGCAGGTGATAGTGGACACCCCGACCAGCCCAGTGACCAGCGGCCTCCCGCTCTTCTTTGTCATCACGGTCACAGCTATCAAACAGGTACAAGTATCATTGTGGGGAGAGGGAGATGCTCTCTGGGATGTGTACTAGGGGAAGTAATGAGCATGTATTTGAACAGACTCAGAAGTCACCAGAATGGGCTGGTAGGTTTGGTGAACCCATCTCAGAAGGTCAGACACGTTTACTGGTGCTTTTCAAGAGAGGCTACATGTTGAGTGTGGTTATTGGTCTCTCCTGTTTTGGAGACGTAGAACATCTCTAGATGTTCCCTTGTAAGCAAGCCGTGAGGGTCAGTAAAGGTTACAGCTGTACTTCTGCCTCTGCTTGAATTTTTCTTCTCTTTTTAGAAACGCTCTCCGAGTCTTTGCAGGATGTGGAGACGTGCTCCAAATATAGCCCCTGCTCCCCTGTTGGGAAATGGAAGGGACAGGTTCTGCTCATCCACTCAGCTAGTCCTGACAATACCTAGTCCTCATCTTCTCCTGATGTTAAAAGCCCCTTTTCCTCCCATCGTATGCACGTGTGCCACTTAAAAATCTCCTCTGCGGAAGGATTGAATAATAAAAGCAGTTTCTTCTGCAGGGGCCAGAAAGGGAGAGCCAGAGTAAAATCCATCTGCTTCAAATGTGAATGTTTTATTATTCTTTCGGTGAGGACTGAAGAGGAAGAGTCTTGTCCTGCGTTATCATAGGAAAGAGTCGCAGGGTGCTGAGCGTATTATTCATTTTATCAGCCTGTTCTCACCAACACTGAGAATAATAGAAACATGTTACAGTAATTTAGCTGCTCGTGGCATGCACTGCATATAGATTTATTTTTTTTGTGCGTTATTTTAGTTTGTTCTGAATCTGTCAAATATGCATATGAAGTTTTTAAAATAAATTGATTCGGTCTGAACTCCTCTGGTTGATGGTTTTTCAGGCATGGAGGAGGTCTGAGGACTGCTTAATTTATTTTTTTTCATTTTAATTCATTTTTTTTAAATCTCCATCCCCACTCATCCTCTTCCATTAGTTTACTTGCCTCGTTAAGGAGTTTGTGTCGCCTGTATTTGTGTGCCTAGGGCTACGAGGACTGGCTGAGGCACAGAGCTGACAACGAAGTGAACAAAAGCAACGTCTTCATTGTGGAGAATGCAAAGCAAGTGCAGAAAGAGAGTGAAAAAATCAAGGTAACTGTGAAGGGAGAAGTCAGGTTGTTCTCCTTGAAGCTGGTGGGAAGTTCATTTTAATTCATTTTTTTTTAATCTCTGTCCCCACTCATCCTCTTCCATTAGTTTACTTGCCTCGTTAAGGAGTTTGTGTCGCCTGTATTTGTGTGCCTAGGGCTACGAGGACTGGCTGAGGCACAGAGCTGACAACGAAGTGAACAAAAGCAACGTCTTCATTGTGGAGAATGCAAAGCAAGTGCAGAAAGAGAGTGAAAAAATCAAGGTAACTGTGAAGGGAGAAGTCAGGTTGTTCTCCTTGAAGCTGGTGGGAAGAGGGAGGTGTGTGGTGAGGGCGGGAGGAGGGATGAGCTGCCCGGGCGAGCTCGCTTTCAGAAGAGATGCTCTGAGAGAGCCGTTCCCTGTTAAGGAGTGAAGCTGCCTTTGTTTGATGGCTTTTGAAAAGCTGTCTCACAAAAGCTGTACTGGGGCTGACAAGTGACAGATCTGTCAGCGTTTTGCACTTCTCCGGGACAGGCAGTCCTCTTCTATTTCCAACTCTCCCAAGGACACCAGGAAAGTACACTAGCTTTGACGTTCATTTATCACCCCGTGCTTCAGACAAGTACAGAGTCTTTTGCTTCATCGAGATTTAGTGGAGAAATAAATCCTAACTGTGCCACGTGGGCACTCCCAGTTGGGGCTGGGGATTGACCCATTGGGCTGTGGGGTGATGCTGGGGCACCCATGCACCTCCTGAACCCCGAATTCCCTTTTAGCCAAGCTCATTTCTCTTAGGCTTTGAGAGACCTAATTGATCCGTGAGCATCTAATAATCAACCGAGAGGGCTTTTCATGTTAGGCTTTGAGAGACCTAAGAGATCCGTGAGCCTCTAATAATCAACCGAGAGGGCTTTTCATGTAAGTATTTCCTTTCTTCCAGGTTGGAGACATCGTAGAAGTGAAAGCAGATGAGACCTTCCCCTGTGACTTGATATTTTTGGCCTCGAGCAGCGTTGATGGGACCTGTTACGTGACTACAGCGAGTCTGGATGGCGAGTCCAATTTCAAGGTGACAGGGCCGAAGGGGACAGCGTTGGGATGCTGGGCTGCCTGGCGATGCTCGCCTTGGAGGGGGAGTGGATGTTTAACTGGAGGATGCTCCCATGGAGCCCATCACTGTGGCTGTGTTTACGGCTCTTCCCTCCATCCACTCCCAGCACTTTAGGGGTTGTTTGTTTCCCATTTTCTCTCCAACAGCCATTTCTGCTGGCGTGGCCCCAAATCAAAATGATATTTATCCATATGGTTTCGCTGCCTTGTTGCCCATCACGGGAAGTGTGTTAGTGCTTCCCTGCTCCTCCTGAGCTCTGCTGCATTGGGAAAGCAGCCCCTGCAGCTCCCTTCCCTCTACCTGCCAGTGCCTCTGTTGCTTAACTGAGCTTTTCCAGTGAGATCGGGGAGTTTTTGAGGCAGTTATGTCTGGATTCATTTGGGGAATTTTTCACCAGTGTGAGAAAACATCACTTCTGGTTTGTTTTTTTTCCCCTCTCTCTTTTCCCCGAGTCAAGCAGTGAAATTTAATACTAGCCTTGCTCAGGAGGAACCTCTTTCTTTATTCATCCCCCTCCTTCTAAACTAGGGAAAGAGGCAGCAAGAACAACAAAAAAACTTTTATACATCAGAAGAAATGAAAATTTGGTTGCTCTTGTGTTTAATAAATATTTATACAGATAGTGCAGTAGTAAGAGTGGAAGAGACTTTAAAATGACGTGATTCATTCTGGCACACTCTGAAGTCAGAGGGAGTACCACTGGTGATCTGATAAGATACTATATGGGGTCTGTGGCTCGTCTCTTCGTGGGCAGCTCTTAATTGGTACTGGAAATCTTGCATAGGAGCTGCTGTGGTGCTGGTGCACCGTACTGGTCCCACTGGCAAAGAGGAGTGGAGCTTTGAAGTGGCTTGAGGCTAAAAATAACCATATTAAATAGGCAATTGCTTATTTGTGTCAGGTGTATTATATGCATGAGCTCACTTACTTTTGCAGAGCCTTGGCTCTTACTAACTTTTGAGTCTGTAAAGGGGGTGCTCAGTTTCCATCTTAAGCGCTGGGGTGGTTTTTCCTAGTTTGTGGATTCCTGTAGGTGCCTGGGAGCTGCCTCCCTGTCTCTTGACGAGATGAAGATGGGTTTGAAAGGGAAGGGAGGAGCAGAAAAGCGAGTGCTGTTTGGGGAAGTAGGTCTGACATTAGGAACCAGGGTTTGCTGCAAAAGGATGGTGAGGGAAGCACATGCTGAAAAAAACCTCCTCTGCACCAGTATCTGCTGCCTACCTGGTGGGGATTTTTGTGGTAATTGGGGCATCTCAGGTCGAGGTAGGGGAAAGGCTCTTGGTTCAGTGAAACTGGAGCAGAACCACAACAGGCTTTTTGCCAGGGCTCTGTCTTGGAAGCAGGAATCTCCGGTCACACGTTATCTAACAGGACACGTGTTTTCTAAATACGCTGGGGTTGTACAAATCGTGGAATTGATGAGGCTTTGAAGCATCACTCTGTAATTGCAAAAACGGTGTCCATGGTGACAGGGGTTGGGTTTGGTAACTGGGCGCTGCGGGGAGAGTTTTGAGTTGGGTTTCCCAAAGGCCCTGCTTTCTACCAGGGATGTGTGTGTGTGTGTTTGTGTGTCTGCTTTGAGCAGGGAAAGGCAGGCAGGTTACCCAAACGGTGGGTATTTATCATCTCATGGCTGTGGTGTGTGTAATGTTAAGGGGGCCTCCCGGGCTGCGCCAGGAGGGGAAGGCAAACGTAAGGAGCGGAGGAAGATGTTTAATGAATTTGTTGATGAAGATGGATGAAGGCAGCCTGCCGTGCAGCCCGCCGTGACTTGGAGCTCTGAGTAGCTCCTATAAATAGCGCCTGGAAGGCAGCGAGCGGATCCTTCGTGGGCTTTCCAGTTAATTGTGAGAGATGAACCTTCGCAGCAGCAGCTGCTAAAAATATCTCAGAGTCTGCCAGGGCTCTGCCTGATCCCTGGGTGCTGGGGATGGCCTCTCATTACCTTCAGGAGCGGGAAGGTGGTCCCCAGGAGCCCCTTCAGGCCAGGGGGGACCTACAGCCTTCTGTCCCACCTCAGCTGGGGTGGCAGCAAGTCCCTGGAGGGAAAACCAAAGATGCTCTGCTTCTGGTTCACCTCCTACCCAACAGATATCCACCAGCTCTGTCCTGCGTGGCCAGCAGGGCAAGGAGGGGGGATTCTACCCCTCTACTCCACTCTGGTGACCCCTCTCTGGTGAGATCCCACCTGGAGCACCGCATCCAGCTCTGGGGTCCTCAGCACAGGAGAGACATGGACCTGTTTGAGCAGGTCCAGAGGAGGCCACGAAGATGCTGGGAGGGCTGGAGCCCCTCTGCTGTGAGGACAGGCTGAGAGAGTTGGGGGGGTTCAGCCTGGAGAAGAGAAGGCTCCGGGGAGACCTTAGAGCCCCTTCCAGTCCCTAAAGGGGCTCCAGGAGAGATGAGGAGGGGCTCTTGATCAGAGAGTGGAGCCACAAGATGAGGGGGGAGCGGTTTTAAACTGAAAGAGGGGAGATTGAGATGAGATCTCAGGAAGAAATTGTGTGCTGTGAGGGTGGTGAGAGTCTGGCCCAGGTTGCCCAGAGAAGCTGTGGCTGCCCCATCCCTGGAGGGGTTCAAGGCCAGGCTGGATGGGGCTTGGAGCAACCTGGTCTGGTGGGAGGTGTCCCTGCCCAGGGCAGGGGGTTGGAACTGGATGGTCTTTAAGGTCCCTTCCAACCCAAACCATTCAATGATTCTGGTAAATTCAATCTTCAGCTGAGAGATGCTTTGGCTGTTTTGTGGGAGGGGGGCTTGTCCGAGCTGCTGGGGCTGCTGAGTCTTTGCGTGATGGCATTTTAAGTAAGTGGGTGAAACGTGGGGGCTGCGTGGCTGGGGGGGCTGCCAGTGATGCTGCTTCTGCTTCTCTCCCCAGACTCACTACGCCGTGCGGGACACCACCGTGCTCTGCACGGACGAAGCCATCGATGCCCTCACCGCCACCATCGAGTGCGAACAGCCACAGCCTGACCTCTACAAGTGAGTCTGCCCATCCTGCTCCTCCTCCTGCCCACCCTTCCCCTCCTCCTGCCTGGGGTCACAGAATCACAGAATGCTATGGGGTTGGAAGGGACCTCTGGAGATCATCTAGTCCAACCCCCTGCCAAAGCAGGTCCACCCAGAGCAGGTTGCACAGGAACTTGTCCACGCGGGTTTTGAATGTCTCCAGTGAAGGAGACTCCACCACCTCCCTGAGAAGCCTCTTCCAGGGCTCTGCCACCCTCAGTGTCCTGGTCCCAGTGCCTGTTCTTGGGCCACTCTCCCTCCCAAGTAAAGTGCATGGGGCTGAATGACTTCCAGGAGTAAGTGGGTTTTGTGGTTCAATCTCATGAAGGAGGTGTGGGGTGTGTTGCATGGTCAGGTCCTGCTGCTCTGCTGATGGGGGGCTCCCCCAGCCATGGGGGGTGCAAGGCTTCTCCCTGTCCCAGGACACCCCTCTGAAGCATTAAACTCTCAAATGCACTCTTTTACGTGTTTGCTTCCATCTCCTATCAATGAATTTTTAAAGTATGTCTGTAGTAGCAGTTTATAATGTGTTTGTAATACAAGCTTTTCATATTTCTACTGCAGATTTGTTGGAAGAATTATCATCTACAGAAGCAACCAAGAGCCTGTAGCCAGGTAGGTCTTGCAGCCATCTGGCTGGCCCTCCTCAAAGAGGTTGGGCATCTTCATCTGGTTTCAAGGATCTGAACTCCTGCTGCCATCACTCAGTTTTAAACTGAAATAGAGGGATTTAGATTAAATATCAGGAAGAAATTCTTCGCTCTGAGGGTGGTGGGACACTGGGTTGCCTGGGTTGCCCAGAGAAGCTGTGGCTGCCCCATCCCTAGAGGGGTTCAAGGCTTCTCTGAGGGAAAGCAGACACTTAAGCATCAATCAGAGCGTTTTGGGGGAAAAAATAAGCAAATAATGTCCCCGTAAGTCATGAAATCCAGACTGCTGTCGCTGGAGCGGTTCCAGCTGCGTTTCATGGCTGTGTTGGCTCTATCTGCACCCGAGAAGCAACAGAGGGGTATGGGCTGGGGTTTCCAAGAGAAATAAACAGAGAAATGGGAGCCAAATAAGACACTGGCTTTGATTGCTGGAATGGACAGATTTGCGATGCTTTTACACTCAGATTTTTTTATAAGTATTAGAACATATTAGATCTGAACACTTTGCACTGATTCCTCAAAAGCCTTACTGATAATCCCCCCCCTAAATTTGGCACTTTGAGCACCAAAAATAGTCTGCGTGAGATGAAATGGAGATGTAAGTACGTAAAGAGAAACAAACTCAAGCAATGCCCAATTTAACATACAAATCAAGTAATCAGATTTAAGAACAGCTGTTTAGTTTTATAATCTGTCTCTGGTCTAAATTATAAAAAGCCGTTTGGTTGTGCTTTGAGTGATGTAATGGTGTAACTTCTTTTGTATTTAGGTCTTTGGGTCCTGAAAACCTGTTGCTGAAAGGTGCTACCCTCAAAAACACCAAGAAGATTTATGGTGAACAGTTTTTGTTATTATTATTATTCTTATTTAAATAGTTCTGGGAAATAATGACAAATGTAGGTGCTCATCACTATATCTAGAGAGAGAAAATGCTTCTCTGCAGTTGTATTCAGTGTGGGAGCCGATGGCAAAGTTGACGGGGTGAAATTAGGAGGTGCTCGTTGTGTTAATACACAACAAAAAGCTTTTCTTTTTGCCTGAGATGCCGAGAGCAGGGAGTTGTTCCCAAATCCTTTGCTGAAAATGTGTTCTATAACCACATCCCCAGCCGGTTGTGCTGGAGGGTGACGGCTGTTAGGGATGACTGATGTTTGTTCTGACTGTATGTGATCCATAGGCTCCTGCTCAGGGCTCTGGGATGTATGTAATTATATTACTTGGCAGCCTCGGAGGTTTCTGTAGTTGAACAGTCCTTGGGTAATTAATGCCTCCTCCTTCATCTGGGATTGGAGTTTCATGTAACCACCGATGCCCCTCATGGCTGAGTGCGGGCTGGGTCCCTCCTGGGCTGTGGGTCCCCTCTGAGCCCTGCTTTAATGCCCCGCAGGAGTCGCCGTCTACACCGGGATGGAAACGAAAATGGCTTTGAACTACCAAGGGAAATCTCAGAAACGGTCTGCTGTAGAAAAGTGAGTATTTATAGTCAGCAAAAAAATCGGTAAAGCCTGTTGGGTATTTTTTTTCCTATGGGTGATTTGTGCAGAAGTAATCCCTTAATCTCCTGCCTTTTGTTTCAGATGCTCTCTGATTACGTAGAATATCTGTATATTTGATTAAACATACATTTGATGAAGATGCATCATTTAATAACTTTTTTCCTTAAAAAAAAATTAAGAAATATTAAAATCTATGAACTGACCCTGAATATCAGCACTGTCAAAAGCACTTGTTTTGTAATTCCCTCCTTACAAGCAAGAGAGTCTTGTTCCTGCATATTTTTTTTTATTTGCAGGGTTTTCTATATAAAAAATAGCTGCAAGAATTTTAAAAAAGAAACCTATTTTTCAGATCTATCAACGCTTTCTTGATAGTGTATTTGTGCATCCTTCTGAGCAAGGCCACGGTGTGCACCACTCTGAAATATGTCTGGCAGAGTAATCCATTTAACGACGAGCCCTGGTACAACGAGAAGACTAAAAAAGAGAGAGAGACGTTCAAGGTAAGTGGATTTGTATTTCAGCACCTCCTTCAGCCTTATTTTTTTTTTTTTTGTCCTGATGGTTTTATTTAATCTGATGGGGGCTGCTGCCAGCCCTGGGAGAGTCCTCTTTGCTCGCTGGAAACGCTGTCGTTTCCTTTGGGCTCTCCTCCTCTTTGAGTTTCTTTCCTGCCTGTGCATCAATAAATACTCTATATTATAGAGACGCAGCAGCTGATTTAACCTGGATCCTTATCTGAACTCCAGCTCTCTCTCAGCTTTGAGTAGGTAAACTTAAATTGAGGTCACGTCAACCGGCTTCTTAAACTTGCCGAGACGCAGGCAGTCAAGCCTGAAAGGGTGTGAGCGTGGAGAAATCTGCCATTTGATGAATTATTGAGTCGGAATGGCAGGGATGTCCCCCCCTCAGCTGTATCCTTGTCACAATGTGACTGGTCTCGGGCCACTTGCTCCTTGTTTCTAGTTACTTGAGATCAGAATGAGCCTGTAGCGGTACGTTCAGGAGAGGAATATTCATGAATAAAACATTGTTTTGGTCACTGTGAAGCAGTGAGATGGACTTTTGTAGATCTGCAGAGGGTGGTTAGGTTTTCTGCATCAAAGGAAAATGGAATTTGGCCCATTTAACCTTAGAAGAAAATCTGTTTAAAACCCCAGATGTGCAAACTGCCCCTGATGGGCACAGACTGCATCTTCTCCCCTTTCCATTGCAGGTCTTGCGGATGTTCACGGACTTCTTGTCGTTTATGGTCCTCTTCAACTTTATTATCCCGGTCTCCATGTACGTTACGGTGGAGATGCAGAAGTTCTTGGGCTCTTTCTTCATCTCTTGGGACAAGGAGATGTACGACGAGGAGATAAAAGAGGGGGCGTTGGTGAACACCTCGGATCTGAACGAAGAGCTTGGGCAGGTCAGAAGATGCTCTGTTTGCATCCGCTTGGAGGGAAGTGTGGATGAAAACGTCCTCCCTGATAGGAACCCTTGTTGTGGCAGTCCCTTGTGGTCCCCTCAGGGCAGAGCTCCAGCCGGTTTGGTGGCACTTTCCATTTAATGTGATTCTACTCGCTCTGCGAAACGGATCAAGGATATAAATAGTGCATGAAAGAGCAGGAATTGGGTCATGCCAATTGTTTCCATATTGGGGAATATCAGGCGCAGCTCTCTGCCTGTCAGGATGGTTTGCTTTCACTGCTTCAATTAAAAATTTAAAAACCCCTCCTTCTCTTCGAGGATTAACTTCAAGGCTCTCTGGGCAGGCACTGCCCTTGCAGCCACGCTGGGGCAACGAGACAGTTCAGGCTTCCCTTCCTCATCTGCACCAGGAGAGACTGAGTGTAGTGCCTCCTGCTTTTTATTTTGCTTTAAAAAAAAAAAAATATATATATATTTGGAGTAGCAATTACCTAGTTCAAACACAGCACCAAGATGAAAATCCCCCAAAGGAGGCAGCAGAGCTGTGGCAGCAGCTATATAAGCACTAGGAGCTATAGCAAAGGGCCCAGTAAAGAGGGTGAGGGGAAAATAGTGTATAAGATGTGAACGGATCAATCATCTGCTCAGCGTGGTGGCAGAGCTGGATGGGGCTTGGAGCAACCTGGTCTGGTGGGAGGTGTCCCTGCCCAGGGCAGAGGGGTTGGAACTTGATGATCTTTAAGGTCCCTTCCAACTCTAACCATTCTATGATGCTATTAAATTCTATGGGAAGGAAGAGCCTGGAAAAAATAAATTTTTAAGCTTTCAGGAGCTGCCTCCTCCCACCTGGGCTGAAAAACCAAGGAGCTGCTCTGAGGAGCAAAGGGGTAAAGTACAGAGTGATGTAGCTCCCGGGGGGCGCCTGTGTCTTTTTGGGGTCCCAGGCTGGGACAGCAGCGTTGTCATGGAGGCACTAAAACGGCCCAAGCTCTTTGTTTTTTGGGGGGCTCCAGTGCTGGGGGTACAACCTGTCTGCTGGCTTCTAGGTGGAGTACGTCTTCACGGACAAAACGGGGACGCTGACGGAGAACAGCATGGAGTTCATCGAGTGCTGCATCGACGGGCACAAGTACAAAGACTGCATTTCGGAGGTGGATGGCTTCTCGCAGACTGATGGGCCCCTAAAATATTATGGCAAAGCAGAAAAGGTAAGAAATCCACCTTGTTGGTGACTGTAGGGTTTTGTGCTCAGCTCCTGACCAGCAGAAGCTGGGAGGGAGTGTTGGGTTTTTTGGGGCTTTAAAATATGCATGCACAAAAATCGCTGGGAGGTGGGCTCGGTTCCATGGCATTAAGGTGGCAATTAATTAATTAAGCCCTCCCTTCCTCCTGCCTAGAGCCGTGAGGAGCTGTTCCTGCGAGCCCTCTGCCTATGCCACACCGTCCAGATCAAGGAGGCAGACCAGGTGGATGGGCTGATAGGACATCCAGAACACAAATACACCTATATCTCCTCCTCCCCAGATGAAATAGCTTTGGTGAAAGGCGCAGAAAAGTAAGAATATTGAAGATGTTCTCTTTTTAATTCCCCCTCTCTGGTGGGAGGGAGGTGAAGGGTTATCTGAGGGTGATAGACCCCTTTCCATGGTCAAGGCTGAAGCTCCCTCTGGGAAGCACGTTGTGATACCAACACTGGGCCTTGACCTGCCAACCTGGGTTTAAATGAGGTCTCTGTAAAAGGGATGCTCTGCAAAAGGTCTTCCCTGAGCAGCTTCTCGGGAATAACAGGATGGGTTACTTTTATCAAACTCACATTTGAATCCTGCCAAATATGTTCAAGGCCAGGTTGGACGGGGCTATGAGCAACCTGGTCTGGTGGGAGTTGTCCTTGCCCAGGGCAGGGAGTTGGAACCGGATGATCTTTAGGTTCCCTTCCAACCCAAACCATTCCATGATTCTGTGCTGTTGCCAGCCTCTAGTTTTTAGACTGTTGCAGCTGTATATATTTGCTCACAGCTTGTAAATCTGCCAGGGACTGTGTCCAGAGGCTCTGGGCGTCTGTGTACTGCAGTCCCAAGCTCTCCAGGTCATGGGAGCAGTGCCAGAACATCACAGCAGGCTCTGCATGGAGCCACCAAACACCCAGCTGAGCTTTCAGGCTCGGGCTCGCTAACTCCTTTGCTCTCCTCTGCAGTACGGAAGGTGAAACGAGAAAGTTGTTAACCTATAATCCGTGCCAATGGGTTTTTTTTCAATGTTGTTCTGTCCTTTTGTTTATTGACAGGTATGGTTTCACTTTTCTAGGACTGGAAAACAATTACATGAAAATACGAAACCAAAAGAATGAAGTGGAAATGTAAGTGCGGCGGGGGCTGCCGAGGACCGGGGCTGCTGGTGCCACGCTGCATCTCACCTGGGTTCAGCCAGTCTGGTCAACCTGGCCAGCCTGGTGAGGTCCAAGCCCTTCCCCCAGGGCTGTGGGACCATGCCAACCTGCCCCAAAACTCCCATGTTTTTTAACAAAACTCAGCACAGCAAGGTGCAGGCTGGAAGGCTTGCTCACAAACATCTGCTGGAGGTTTTAGTGACGTCTAAACTCAGGTCCCTGAAGCTCCTGCAGCCCCTCACATGTATCCTTCTTCCGTGCCCGGCTGTGCAGGTGGCTCCTGGGCTTCCCGAGGTGGCAACTGACCTCGGGGACAGTGACTGAGCCACAAAGAGCACACACTGAGCCTCAACTGCGTGATAGGGATCTCACAACTGTGGTTGCCCCATCCCTGGAGGGGTTCAAGGCCAGGCTGGATGGGGCTTGGAGCAACCTGGTCTGGTGGGAGGTGTCGCTGCCCAGGGCAGGGGAGTGCATCTGGATGATCTTTAAGGTCCCTTCCAACCCAAACCATTCTATGATCCTATATGGCCCTCTTCACCATAACTTTTTTCCCCTCTTGAGCTGAAAATAATTAGGTTTTACCCCTGTGCTCTCAGCCTGGGGGACATCTGAGAATCACTGACCTCATCCCAGCGCTGCCCGAGAACTTACTGTCACAAGTGTCACTTCTTTACTCCCCTGATGGGGAAAAACTCCTTATTTAAATGCCGGAGCCACTGTGGCTGCCCATGGAGCTGCTCCCAGCCTGGGGGCTTGGGGGGCAGGGAGTGGATGGATCCCAGTCATGGGAGATCACCCAAAGCTTTGCTGCCTGGTGGGTGCCCTCAGGTGTCCACCCACACCCTCAGACCCAGAGTTCTGTCCTTTTATTTTTTTTTTACCCCATTTTCTTGTGCAGTAGAAAGTTCACTGCCCAGTGGGGTCTGGTGGGAGGTGTCCCTGCCCAGGGTAGGGGAGTGGAACTGGGTGATCTTTAAGGTCCCTTCCAACCCAAACCATTCTATGATCCTATATGGCCCCCTTCACCATAACTTTTTTCCCCTCTTGAGCTGAAAATAATTAGGTTTTACCCCTGTGCTCTCAGCCTGGGGGACATCTGAGAATCACTGACCTCATCCCAGCACTTCCCGAGAACTTGCTGTCACAAATGTCACTTCTTTACTCCCCTGATGGGAAGACTCCTTATTTAAATGCTGGAGCCACTGTGGCTGTCCATGGAGCTGCTCCCAGCCTGGGGGCTTGGGGGGCAGGGAGTGGATGGATCCCAGTCATGGGAGATCACCCAAAGCTTTGCTGCCTGGTGGGTGCCCTCAGGTGTCCACCCACACCCTCAGACCCGGAGTTCTGTCCTTTTTTTTTTTTTTACCCCATTTTCTTGTGCAGTAGGAAGTTCACTGCCCAGTGGGTGCTGCCACTTGTAGGGTGTGTTGATTTCTGCAGCTCATTGGTAGGGATTTTCTGTCTTAGAGTTATTTTACTTTTACTGAGTCTAAGCTCCTTAATTATTTTTCTTTTTTAAAGGTACCAACTTCTCCATGTGTTGAACTTTGATCCTGTCCGTCGCCGTATGAGTGTCATTGTGAGAACCACCACAGGTACAGTTAAAATACATTTCTGGGCTCCCACACGTGTGTGCATACGTGCACAAATATAAAACACATCCTCTTTATTCCTGTAACCTGGAGAGGCCAAGCTGTTAGGTTTTTTAAGCTGGTCTAATTAAAATCTGTACTGGGTCTGGCTGGGAAAGAGTGAATTTTCTCCATAGGAGGCACTGGGGACCAGCAGCAGATATGGGGAAGGGACAGGGATAGGGACAGTGACCCACTGAAAGCTCCCTGTTTGCCTTGTTCCAGCCTGAAGGTGCAAGTACAGAGGGGGGAGATGTGAGACCTTCCCCTGAGCAGGTTGGGTTTTCATGGGGATAGATTCAGAGATCACCATCCTTCCCCAATGTCAGTCCCATAAGCTGCAGGATGGTGGTTTTACCCTCCCTGAAAGGGTTGCCAAGGCTTTTAAATAGGAAAAAAAATAACTGCTTTGCCCAAATTTTTGCAGAAGGCTTGCTCAGAGGCAGGTAGCGACACCCAGTATCCCAGACTGGGGATAAACAAGGCTTTGCCCAGGTTTCCTGAGGCCAGTTTTGGTGGGCAGCCATGCTTCTAGTCCTGCCACGCTTCCCTCTGCATCATTTGCTGGCTGTTGAGTCTGTGAAGTCTTTCCCCAGCTTGCGAACGCTACAGACTATTTATAATTTGCTTTTAGGGAAGTTGCTTCTCTTCTGTAAAGGAGCAGACTCCTCGATTTTCCCGAGGGTGCAGCAAGAAGAGATCCAGCAAACCAAAGTCCACGTGGACCGCAACGCCATGGTGAGCACGCGGCCGGAATTTGGCTGGCTCCTGGGCTCAGGAAGGCCTTATTCCAAAAATAGGGATGTGGCCTTGCTCTGGAGGGAAGTGTTGAAAATCTGAGTGTCACTTCACATTGTTTTGAAGCCAGGCTTCTTTCCTTTTCTGTCTCTTTGGCTTCCACCTTTATTTGACTTTTGATAGACTTATATGGTCTCCATCGCAGTTGTGTCCGAGCATCTCCCAAGCAAGTTAAAAATAGAAATAACAATAGCGGGCTGTTCTCTCCGGTGGGAGAAGTGCCTGGTCCCAGTCATGGGGGCACCCAGTCCCTGTTGTTTCTGCTGGATGCACGCTCTTGGCTCTGCTCCTTCTCTGAGTTTCTCTCTGCCATGTTACGTGCAGGTAATAAGCATAACCACCATTAAGAAATTACTGTATAAACACAGAGAAATTGGCCTTTTGACTCGAGCCAACAAGTTGTCGTTGACTTTTGGGGTTGGTACTGACAGGAAGCACTGATGGTAAAGAAAATCACTGACCCTAAAGTGAGGAGCTGTAGAAAATCTGCTTTTTTTGGCGCCTGTCCACTTTATTTTCTCTCCCTCTCCCTGCCAGGATGGCTACCGCACGCTCTGTGTGGCCTTCAAAGAGCTGACTCAAAAGGAGTACGACAAAATCGACAGGCAGCTTAACGAAGCCAAGATGGCTCTGCAGGACAGGGAGGAGAAGATGGCCAAGGTTTTTGAAGACACAGAAGCAGACATGCACTTGATTGGGGCCACCGCTGTAGAAGACAGGTAAGGAGGTGACCACGGCCACCGATGCTGTGGTTTCTCCTTGACGTTGCATCATGGCCCTGACTCGCTGAGGTGGGACCGAGCGGCCAGGGCAATTAATTACTCTGTGGCACAACACGGTGGCCTAGTTGCTAAAATTGGCTGGTGTAGTAGGAATTAGGATTTCTTAATGAAACCACAGCAGTTCACGCGCTTCTAGAAAGTGAATTAAGCACGCAGCGTTAATTTGCACATCAAAACAAATTCCGTTTCGCAGGCAGTTAGACTAACTGCATGTGTAAATTAAACTTACTCTTGACTCTTAGGTCTCACAGTATAATGCAGTGGGTTTTTTGTTGTTGTTTGTTTTCTTTATTCCTGTGGCGGTGGTCTCTCTCCAGCATGGGGAAAATGAGTTGATTTCTCTTGGGCTGGTACTTCCATCGTGCCTCTGTACTGGGCACTGGTGAGGCCTCACCTCAAGTACTGTCTTCAGTTCTGGGCCCCTCACTACAGGACAGACATTGAAGTGCTGAAGCGTGTCCAGAGGAGAGCCACCAAGCTGGTGGTGGAGAACAAGTCCTATGAGGAGAGGCTGAGGGAACTGGGCATGTTTAGTTTGGAGAAGAGGAGGCTGAGGGGAGACCTCATTGCCCTCTCCAACTCCCTGAAAGGAGGTTGTAGAGAGGCAGGTGTTGGCCTCTTCTCCCAAAGGACGAATGACAAGACCAGAGGAAATGGTCTGAAGTTGGGGCAGGGGAGATTTAGATTGGATATTAGAAAGAACTACTTTACTGAGAGAGTGGTCAGGCACTGGAACAGCCTGCCCAGGGAGGTGGTGGAGTCACCATCCCTGGAGGGATTTAAGAAACGTATAGACATGGCTCTTCAGGGCATGCTCTAGTGCCTAAGGTTATTGGTTTATGGCGAGGTGTTGAGTGTGGGGTTTAGTTGGTGGGTGTGGTGGTTTTGGTGGGCGTTTGGTGTGGTGTGGTTGTTTTTTTGTGTGTGGTTTTTGGTGGTTTTTTTTGTGGTTGGACTCGATGATCTCAGAGGTCCTTTCCAACCACTAGGATTCTGTGATTCTGTGTGATTCCTGCCTGCAAAACGAGGATTTTTATGGATTAAGGGTGGGCCAGGCTGAGGAAGGCTGTTTTCCTTCTTGCCTGCAGGCTGCAGGAGCAGTCGGCGGAGACGATCGAAGCCCTGCACGCGGCCGGCATGAAGGTCTGGGTGCTGACGGGAGACAAGATGGAAACGGCCAAATCCACCTGCTACGCCTGCAGGCTCTTCCAGACCAGCACCGAGCTGCTGGAGCTGACGGCCAAAACGGTGGGTGAGACAGAGAGAAAAGAGGATCGGCTCCATGAGCTGCTGATGGAGTACCATAAAAAGCTGATTCAGGACGTTCCCAAAAACCGGGGAGGTCTGAAGAGGTAAGAGAACCGGAGGAGCCAGCCCCGGGGGTGCTTTACGGATGCAAAGTCAATAGAGGAATAAATAGGACCAGGTTGTGGCCCTGGGGACTGGCTACTTGGCTGGCCCCTTCGCTTTGCTTATCATCTGATGATGAGGAGAGGCTGAGGGAACTAGGCATGTTTAGTTTGGAGAAGAGGAGGCTGAGGGGAGACCTCATTGCCCTCTACAACTACCTGAAAGGAGGGTGGAGAGAGGCAGGTGTTGGCCTCTCCTCCCAAAGGACGAACGACAAGACCAGAGGAAATGGTCTGAAGTTGGGGCAGGGGAGATTTAGATTAGATATTAGAAAGAATTACTTTACTGAGAGAGTCGTCAGGCACTGGAACAGCCTGCCCAGGGAGGTGGTGGAGTCCCCATCCCTGGAGGTATTTAAGAAACGTATAGACATGGCTCTTCAGGGCATGCTCTAGTGCCCAAGGTTATTGGTTTATGGTGAGGTGTTGAGTGTGGGGTTTAGTTGGTGGGTGCGGTGTTTTTGGTGGGCGTTTGGTGTGGTGTTTTTTTTTTGGGTTTTTTTTTGTTTGTTTTTTTTTTTTGTGGTTGGACTCGATGATCTCAGAGGTCCCTTCCAACCACTAAGATTCTGTGATTCTGTGATCTCTAGCTTTAGTTAGTTTTGAACTTAATTACACAGTTCCCTTTTTGAAGGACACGTGTTAAATCCAAGCTTTTTAGGATTGCTAAGCCCCCCTAAAAGGGACGGCAAGAAGATGAATACAAAAGCAATTTCTCTTCCACTAAGACGATACGAGCGGCTGGATTGAGTTCTTAAGAAGTCTGATTTTCATGTCAAACTTGTGCCTCGTTGCGTTGCAGAAGCTGGACGCTGAGTCAAGAATACGGCCTGATTATAGATGGCTCGACGCTGTCACTGATCCTCAACCCTTCTCAGGACTCCAGTTCTAGTAATTACAAAAACATATTTCTCCAAATCTGCTTGAAGTGTACTGCAGTCCTCTGCTGCCGCATGGCTCCTCTGCAGAAAGCACAGGTATTGAACTCTGCTTTTTAACCCTCTGAAGCACATCGTTAGGTGACGGGAGGCACTTCTAATCCACAGCTGGGACTTGACCTGAGTCCGATTTTCATGTCAAACTCGTGCCTCGTTGCGTTGCAGAAGCTGGACGCTGAGTCAAGAATACGGCCTGATTATAGATGGCTCGACGCTGTCACTGATCCTCAACCCTTCTCAGGACTCCAGTTCTAGTAATTACAAAAACATATTTCTCCAAATCTGCTTGAAGTGTACTGCAGTCCTCTGCTGCCGCATGGCTCCTCTGCAGAAAGCACAGGTATTGAACTCTGCTTTTTAACCCTCTGAAGCACATCGTTAGGTGACGGGAGGCACTTTTAATCCACCAGCTGGGACTTGACCTGGTGGCCTTCATCACCCAGGGCTTCTCTGGGCTGTGTGTAAGCCTCGTCTGAGCTTCAGAGCGGGATGGAAACGCACCAGCCCTTCAAATCTTGAATGTAAAACCTTTGCTTAATCTGCTCACGGGATGCCACAAGCCCAAGCCAATCAGAAATAAAAAAGCCCTGTTTGTCTTTTTTTTTTCCTTTCCAAATTTGTCAAGTGGAGTCTGTGACTTCATCGCGATGGTTCCCCAGCCCGAGCAGCAGTTTCTGCCCCTCTTCCAGGGCGGGTCTCCTGCCCCCCAAACGCCCCAGAGGTCCCAGCACTGGGAGATGGAGCTCTGCCAGAAGGGAAGGGTGGGATGATGCTGCCTGGGATTTGTTTTTAAATACTGTCCTTCAGCTCTGTGCAGCTGAGTCTTGGCTTTTTTTTCCCCTCTGGTTGGTGACTGCGAAGGAAATAACTAAGGGTTTTATTCATGTGAACTCTCCAGGCTGTAGAAGCCTGGCTACTTGTCCTGAGGGGCTCTTGCAAGAGGGTCTCTGGAGGCTTTTTAACTGAATTTTTGGTTTCCTGTCTTTTTTTTTTTTTTTTAAATATCTTAGATTGTGCGAATGGTGAAGAACACAAAAGGGAGCCCCATAACCCTCTCCATAGGGGACGGCGCGAATGATGTTAGTATGATTTTGGAAGCCCACGTTGGAATAGGTAAGAGACCTGGGACCACCCATCTGATGCCTAAGACCCATCTTAGGTCTTAGGGGTCTTAGCCCCATCCTTGCTGGGGCTCGCTTTTGAGGCACAATCAGTATTTCCAGTGGTGCATGGCTAAACTCATCCCACTGAAAAATGTGGAAAATCTGCTGTTGCTTTCTTTGGAGCAAATTTGACTCCAGATAAATTCTTGGGATCCTCATATAGTGCTCTCCTTTGATAATACCGCTCTTTATCAGTGATAAACATCAGAGTGTTCTCAAAAACTCTGTGGCCAGATTCAAGGTGGCAAAGGTTGCTTGCTGGTCAGGGGAAAAAAAAGGCCCAAGTAGCAAACTGGCAGCTGTTGCAAAGGCAGAGCAATGAAAATAGGGGATTTTATTAGGGCTAAGTGGTGGCAGCTGCTGGTAACTCAACACTGGGGACCCACACGTGTTTCCTGAGGGCTGCTGCTCGGTTATGTTGTGTCTGCCCTCTCCCTGTGACTGGCATCGGGCTGGAAACGATCCCCCTTTCTGCAGATTGGTGTCGGAGATAGGGGAAATACTGGAGCTTTTTGTAATACTGCTGAAGAGGAGAAAGGGCAGCCTCTTTCTTTGGGGCTGCTGGAAATGCTGCGGGGCCCTCTGATAAATGGGGTCCCGCTGCAGGTCATTTGGGTGCAGCTCTTGAGTGAACAAAACTGTCTTTCTTGAGCTCTGCTCTGCGGGGGTTGTCTCGGGAGGCTGGTGAAATAACTGGGAGATACCGGCAAGCCCGCAGGGAAACCAGTTCCTTATCTTTTATCAGGTTTGCTCAGATACTTTTCACCACACTCCCTTACAAAGGAACTCGGGCAGTAACCTAAATACAGCTGAAAAAAAACTCCAGTGGCAGGTCTGAGTGTTGTGGAGCCAAAGAGTCTTGCAGCACGTTAGTGTTTTGCTCTCCTGGAGCGCTCGGGGTGGGGGAAAATGGCCTTTTTCATACCTTGAGACACTGCAGGATGTGAACAACCCTCCCCCCATCCAGTGGGTAGCATGGTCCAGATTCCAGCCTCTTAGGGATTAACCCCTTGCTTTAGCATCCATCAAGAGTCCAGCCCTTTAGGGATTAACCCCTTGCTTTAGCATCTATCCAGAGTCCAGCCCCTTAGGGATTAACCCCTTGCTTTAGCAGGTCCAGATTCCAGCCCCTTAGGGATTAACCCCTTGCTTTAGCATCCATCCAGAGTCCAGCCCCTTAGGGATTAACCCCTTGCTTTAGCAGGTCCAGAGTCCAGCCCCTTAGGGATTAACCCCTTGCTTTAGCATCCGGCCAGATTCCAGTCCCCCAGGGATTAACCCCTCGCCACGCTTCTGTCTCCAGGTATAAAAGGCAAAGAAGGACGCCAGGCTTCCCGAAACAGCGACTACGCTGTGCCAAAGTTTAAACATTTAAGAAAATTGCTACTAGCACACGGGCATTTGTATTACGTGAGAATAGCACACCTTGTACAGTATTTCTTCTATAAGGTAAGGATGTGTGTGTGTGGCTTATTTCTTTGTTTATACTCTGGGTCTCTTTGGGAAGAGGAAAAAAGTAGTATAGGTTATTTCGCAACTGTGTTTTCCTTCCCTGGAACAGGCTGTGTCTCTGCCACGTGCCTGTCAGTTGAAAACAATACTTGCTGGGGAATGTGAGCCTGACTTTATTCCAGTGACTTCTGCAGATATTAATTGCTCATTGGATTCGTTTTGTGCTTGGTAGAAAACAGTGCCCCAACCTGTCTGATATTGCGGTATCAGACACCAGTGTCTAATAACGGGGAAGAATTATTTGGATTTAGATTGAGAAGTCAAGCGTTTCCCTGCTAACCCTTTGTCTTTTGTTCCCCTAGAACCTTTGCTTCATTTTACCGCAGTTTTTATACCAGTTCTTCTGTGGATTCTCACAGCAGGTAACTTCCAGTAATGTGTCTGTAAAGCCAGGATGAAAAAGCAAGGGGCACAGTGAGGCTTCTTAGCAGAGACCTGGCTTTTGGTGGCCCGTCCCTTCCTCACCTCCCTGTAGAGAACAGTTGGAACTGACCCCATTGCTCAGCGCCGTATCTGGAGCATCATCTTTTTGAGACCCATAACCAAAAAGAAAGAAATCTGCTTTCTTTTCTTCTCCATCCACCACCCATGAACACAGAGGGACACCTTCCCAAAATACAGCTGGTTTGTCAGCACCTGATTTTTGCCGTTTCTCCTTCTCTTAAAAGAAAAAGTTTTCAAAGACTTCCTGATCTTTTCTCCTCTGCTCTATTTCCCTGCATTAAAGGAGTCTCTCAAAAGGAAGAACAGTTTGTTCTTTTATGACAACCTTTAAAAAAAAGCCACTCGGGGAGTGTCATCAGAGCCTTGCTCAGTCCAAGCGAGCGTCAGAAGGACAGGTCCATGTGGTGGGTGGGCTCACGTGCTCGGAGACAAGAGCTTTGGCTTTTGTGTCAACTGCCTGTGTCTATTTGGGCTCAAAAGTAATGGTGAGGAAGAGTAGATGATAGGAGATAATTCTCTGCTTGTCTCAGCAGAACCACTTGCTTTTTTCTTCTTTTTTTTTTTTTTCAAAAAGAAAGAAGCAGCAGCCATAGTTCCTCTAAACCATCTAGTCTTTAGATAGTCACAGGAGACATCAAGTATATTAATAGAAACAAGAAGCACAAGAGCAGCTACAGAAAAGCTGTGATAAGGGCTGTTTAATCACATTTTTCTGGTGAACAAGCCGGAGATGAGAGCAGCCTGATGTGGCTTGGCCCCCCCTGGCATGACCCCTCTCAACCCAAACTGTCTGTGTGCCTGTGACTAAGGGGTGAATCTGTAGGGTGGGTACAGAGATGAGGGCTGGAAACTTCTAATATTTCTGCGGGGAGACTCTTAAAGTGGAATTTCTCTCTCATTTTACCCCTTCTTCCTCTTTTAAGCCACTGTATGACGCTGCTTATCTCACTATGTACAACATCTGCTTCACGTCGCTGCCTATCCTGGCCTACAGCCTGCTGGAGCAGCACATCAACATCGACACGCTGACGGCGGATCCGCAGCTCTACATGTGAGTAGCACCAGGCTGGGTGAGCCCCAGAACTACTTGATTTATCCACGGTTTAAGTTCTGTGGGTCCAGGAGTGTAAACGGGTCTCCCCGTCCCGTGTCGGTGATGGGATCCCCATGAACTGCAGAAAAGGCTGTTTCTGCCCCCTCCTGGCTCTGCTGCTACTGCCTTAGAGATAAGAAATGCCCTGTTTACTGCCTGTTTCTACTTATTTATGCTCTGGTCTAGAAAATTGCACTGCTGTGTCTGTATAAAAAAATAAACTGTGGAATTCTTCATCCATAAAAAAAAAAGCTTCATATGTGGCCAGACCATTCGTTCCTGTTAGCTTTGAGGCAGGCACGTGATAGAGTGTGTAACGGACGGGGCCAGGGGGAGATTTGGCTTTCAGGAGAAAGGAAGATCCATTCATTTTCAGGAAGACAAGTGTTCCTGGAGCCTGGGGCAGGCAGGTAGTTTCTCAGCGGGTATAAATGGATATCCTCCCCCAGGCTTCCTCTGCACAGGGCAAGTCATAGAATTGTAGAATTGCCCAGCTTGAAAAGGACCTTTCAGACCATCAAGTCCGACCATCAACCTAACACTGACAAAAATCATCGTTAAACCCATATCTCTAAGCACTACATCTGCCCGTCTTTTCGGGGTAGGCAGGTAGTTTCTCAGCGAGTATAAATGGATATATCCTCCCCCAGGCTTCCTCTGCACAGGGCAAGTCATAGAATTGTAGAATTGCCCAGCTTGAAAAGGACCTTTCAGACCATCAAGTCCGACCATCAACCTAACACTGACAAAAACCATCATTAAACCATATCTCTACGCACTACCTCTGCCCGTCTTTTAAATACCTCCAGGGATGGTGATTCCACCACTGCCCTGGGCAGCCTGTTCCAAGGCTTAATAACCCTTTCAGTGTAAAAAATTTTCCTAATATCCAATCTAAACCTCCCCTGGTGCAACTTGAAGCTAGTTCCTCTTGTCCCATCACCTGTTCCTTGGGAGAAGAGACTGACCCCCCCTGGCTACACCCTCCTTTCAGGGAGTTGGAGAGAGCAAGAAGGTCTCCCCTCAGCCTCCTTTTCTCCAGGCTGAACACCCCCAGCTCCCTCAGCCTCTCCTCACAAGACTTATGCTCCAGACCCCTCACCAGCTCTGTTGCCCTTCTTTGGACCCTCTCCAGCCCCTCAATGTCTTTCTTGTCAGAAGGGGCCCAAAACTGGACACAGCACTGGAGGTGGGGTCTCACCAGTGCCAGGTACAGGGGGACCATTGCTGCCCCAGTCCTGTTGGCCACACTGTTCCTCATACAGGCCAGGATGCTGGGGGCCTTCCTGGCCACTCTGCTGGCTCATATTCAGCCGCTGTTGACCAACACCCCCAGGTCCTTTTCTGCCAGGCAGTTCCAGCCACTCTTCCCCAAGCCTGTAGTGTTGCAGGGGGTTGTTGTGACCCAAGTGCAAGACTTGGCACTTGGCCTTATTGAACCTCATCCATTCCATCCAGCCTGTCTGGATCCCTCTGCAGAGACTTTCTCACTCAAGCAGGTTGACGCTTCCACCCAACTTGGGGTCATCTGTGAAGTTACTGAGGGTGCACTTGATCCCCTGGTTCAGATCATTGATAAAGATATAAAAGGGAACTGGCCCCAATACCGAGCCCTGGGGAACACCACGTGTGATCAGCTGCCAACTGCAATTAACTCCATTCCCCACCACCCCATATCAGAGCCTGTTACTGGGGAACTCTGCTCTTCCATCCATGTGCTCAGAGTTTTTTGCCATGTTGCCCAGGGAAAGGACAATTTGTGGAGACTTTCTCTCCTGGTGCTTTCTCTCCTTCCTTGGTTGCAACAGGGAGAGGCTCCACAAAAACTGAGATGCTTCCCATCTTCCCCTGCATGTGCTTGGGTGCAGCCCTTCAGCAAGGACTGAGGAAGGTGCTTTTTTGGGAAAGCCCCTCCTCATCCATCGCTGTAGCTAATTCCTTGGCCTGGCAGTGAGCTCAGCCATGGGGAGAAGAAGACAACAGGTCTGGCCAGTGCCCTGGTGTCCCCCAGACAGGCACCATCACCATCATATAGTGCTCCTCAGCTATGGAGGAGCTGTGCGTGGCAAAGCCATGCTTGAGCCAAGAGGGGACAGCAAAGGGAATTAGCAGGTACCTAAAGATATTACATGTATATCCCAGATATTCTAGGTATTCTAGATATTCTAGATGTTTAGGTATAGAGAAATGAGCAGGTGCCATGAGGGCTCTAAAGTGAGGAAGGGGGCATTGGGTGTTTTTGAAATAGATCCATGGTTGATTAGACCTCCGTGTTCCTCCACTCGCATGGCAAAATGCCACGGCACATATTTTTTAATAAATTGCTAATTGAATATCGTGCAGCGCGGCTCGATAACGACAGGCCCCTGTGCGTTCCCCCGCTGGGCTGTCTGATCTCCCAGGTCCTGTCCGTTGAGGGAAAACAGATAAATTGTGCAGGCAGATCACCTGGGTTTGAATATTCATGGCCTGAATGCGCCGCCGAAGGCAGAGGGGCTGCTGTGCCTCTGCCGTACGCAGTGCTGAGCTGCTGCAGTGCAGAGCTCACGGCAGAGATGCTGGAAAAGCTGCAAAAAAAAGCCCGTTTGGGATGGAATGTGAATGCAAAACAGGAGGTGGCAGGGAGCAAGTTGGTTGTGTTCCCTCTCCTTGCGACAGACCCCGCTGACAGGCTGGTCCAGCCCTGCTCCTTGCTCAGACCCAAACTGGGGTGTGCTGGAGCGTTGCCGGTGCATCTTCTTGCACAGCATTCAGTGGGGTTTTGCTTTAGAAGCTGCAGCTGTAGGAGCCTGACACCACACTGGTTTGCAAGGTGCATTGTTGCTGAAATTGGATGTGTTGCTTTAACAGTTAGGAAGAAAAATGAGAAAAGAACTGAGATTTTTTTGGTTTTACCCTAAATGTGCTTTTCTCCCTCCTCAATCTTCAGATTTTAAAGAGAGTGATCTGCAAAGATAATGATGCAGGAAACTTTTTTTTTTATTTAAACTCCCCGAGGGTCGTTCTCCTCTGCCCGTAGAGCATCCATTGGCTGCTGCTGCTGCCTCCGTGCCAGATCTCAGCCTATATTCAGCCACGAGCCTCCTGCTACAGCCCCCGTGTTAAAAACACCCACCCTACCATTCAGGAGATTATTTTTAGCCTGTGCAGAAAAATACCTCTTCTAGGAACGGGGCTTGCAGGGCTTCGCTCAGAGAGAGGGGGGGTTTGTGCCTTCCAACAAAAAGAGGGGAAAACGTGGATTTGCTGTGTCTTCTTTAGCATTGCCCTGGATTTAAAATTCAAAATTCAGATACCATGGGTGGTGCAGGGGCTGCAGGAGAGGCTCAGGACAGTGTCAAAAACGTGGATTTGCTGTGTCCCATAGGGCTCTTCTTTAGCATTGCCCTGGATTTAAAATTCAAAATTCAGATACCGTGGGTGGTGCAGGGGCTGCAGGAGAGGCTCAGGACAGTGTCACAGCTCTTTGCTTTGGGCTGGCTTGGATTTTAATCTAAGCTACCCAGAGGAGAAGGACAAAACAAAATGAAAACGTGGATTTGCTGTGTCTTCTTTAGCATTGCCCTGGATTTAAAATTCAAAATTCAGATACCATGGGTGGTGCAGGGGCTGCAGGAGAGGCTCAGGACAGTGTCACAGCTCTTTGCTTTGGGCTGGCTTGGATTTTAATCTAAGCTACCCAGAGGAGAAGGACAAAACAAAATGAATATGCTGAACCCCTTATGATTTCTCCCAGCGAGCAGCTGTGCGTGGCAAATGTTGTTTGTGTCGTGTTTTTATGAGTTTTACCTCCTCGTCCCCAAATCCTAGGGACCACCAGGCTGCGAGGGGCTTTGTGGTCCATCCAAAATGTGATGGTGACACTCTTGTTGCTCCATCTCTTGGCAGGAAGGTTTCGGACAACGCGATGCTGCAGTGGAAGCCCTTCCTGTACTGGACCTTTCTGGGCGCCTTTGAAGGGCTCGTGTTTTTCTTTGGGGTTTATTTCCTTTTTCAAAATTCATCGTTGGAAGATAACGGAAAGGTAACACCACCAGGAAAAAAAAAAAAAAGAAAAAAAGGGCAGAGCAAGATGAGTGTGTGTTTTGTGCACTGCCTCTTTTATACGCCTGGCAGGGAATATCTCCACGCTTAATCTGTGCAGTGTGTCTCGAGTCTTGTCCCACGGTGTAGCCTTGCTTTATGGTGTGATTTTTTTGCAGCAAATGCTTGCAATGAAACGTTTTCCAAATTGCCATGGAAACAGGGCAGAGCTGGTTATACTCACTAGGTAAAATAACTAGTTTTACAGCTTTATTCCAAGCCGGCGAGCTTTGCAGAGCCCTCTCCTGCATGGTCCCAGAGCAGGAGTGTCTGTCCTTCCCACCCTGTGAAATTTGGCTGGTGACAATCCACCAAATTATTATCCCACCTCAACAAGATGCTGTTTGTCAGCGCAGACGTGGTTTGGGGCTCTGAGGTGGGATTTCAGCCTCCCTCTTGCCTTTGTCGGGGGGTGGGGGGAGGTGGATGGGGGGGCTTTTGCTGGGTTTTTGCTGCCGTTTGGAAGCCACCCGGTGAGCTTTGCAGAACCCTCTCCTGCATGGTCCCAGGGCAGGAGTGGTGTCTGTCCTTCCCACCCTGTGAAATTTGGCTGGTGACAATCCACCAAATTATTATCCCACCTCAACAAGATGCTGTTTGTCAGCGCAGACGTGGTTTGGGGCTCTGAGGTGGGATTTCAGCCTCCCTCTTGCCTTTGTCGGGGGGTGGGGGGAGGTGGATGGGGGGGCTTTTGCTGGGTTTTTGCTGCAGTTTGGAAGCCAGCATAAGTTAGCACCGCTGTCAGGAGGAGCAGGCTGTTCCTCTCCTCCCTGCTGTCTGCGTCCTCCTGCCGCTGCTGTCAGGACAAGCCGCCTGCACGGCCACGTGAGCGAGGTGTGGGAGCTGCTCCGGGGTAACTTGCACAGAAAAAGGGGGCGGGGAGGGGGAAAGATTGAATTTTTTTTCTTTTTTTTTTTTCTTGGGGTAACTTGCACAGAAAAAGGGGGCAGGGAGGGGGAAAGATTGAATTTTTTTTTCTCTTTTTTTTTTTTTTTCTTTTTGCTGGTTAAGTGAGTGCAGAGCAGAGCGTTAGCCTGGTGCAGCTGCCACCCGTGGTGACCTGGGCTGTCTCAGTTCCCTGTCCCCAAGGAAAGAGCATTTTCAGACCTTGGCTGATGGAAAACTTTTTTACACTATCACTTGTTTTCAAGGGTCACACCTTTAGCTTTTTTCAGTGGCTAACCCTGGGAGAAAAGCTGATGAAATTCACGTATGTATATGCATACGTTGCATCGATGCCAGCATTTATGGTCCCAGCTATAAGCAGTCAATCCCCTATATGGTAGATTCAGTGCCTTTCTGTATTTATGGCCCTTCTGGTTGTATTTGAATAAAACACAAAGCACTGATATGTTCTGCAAGTGCCTTGAGAGGTCAAGTCTGTGTGGCACTAAAATAGGATCTGTGGTTATGTCCTGTTTTGTAAACACTTATGCCTGTAAGAACTGCTATCAGCAATTGTTCATAATATCCATGTATGTTTGATTGACTCCTTTTTTTTCGCTCCTATTGACTTGACTTTTTTGGCATTTTTTTGAAAACTTTTACATTTCACTTTCTGTTTTAATGTATGCATTCAGATCTTGACAGCCTTTGGTAAGCATCCCTCCCATTCGTTGCCATAATTTGGATTTTATAGATACAGTATCTGCTTTTTTTTTCTTTTTTTTTTTTTTTTTCCTGTCGTGCGTAGTCACTAGTATCCGCAAACCAAACCAGATGGAAAAATCCCCATTGGTGCCTTCTGCAAATGGGAGTAAAAACCAGGCGATGAGCAGAGGTGTTGCGAGAAAGCAGAAACTGAGTAAATTACCCAGAAACCATGAAATGCAGGTGGTGCGATGACTTGTATCCTCGATTGACATTGCTGTTAGTAGGAGGTTGTAGCTGTCACCGTCCCGGCTCCGGGTGGCCCGTCCGTGTGGCACTGCATGGCACAGGGTAGCGCCCAACGCCTCCCCAGCATCCAACCCCCCCTGTAGCTGTCCCTCTGTCCCCTCCAGTCCCTGCTTGCACCCCTGTCCTCAGCGTCCTCTCTGTGCCTCGCCAAGGAGATGGACCCAGGCGCCGGTGGCAACACAACGTGGTTTTTTTCAGGTTTTTGGGAACTGGACCTTTGGGACGATTGTTTTCACCGTGCTGGTGTTCACCGTCACCCTGAAGGTTAGTCACTTATTTTTCATAGAATCATAGAATCATTGAGGTTGGAAGAGACCCTTGGGATCATCGAGTCCAACCATCTCCCCTACTCTACAAAGTCCTCCCCTACACCATGTCCCTCAGCACTGCATCTAAACGGCCCTTAAACACAGCCAGGGATGGGGACTCCACCCCCTCCCTGGGCAGCCTGTTCCAATGCCCGACCACTCTTACAGTGAAAAATTCCTTCCTAATGTTCAATCTAAACCTCCCCTGTTGGAGCTTGAAGCCGTTCCCTCTCGTTCTATTGTTAATTACCTGTGAGAAGAGACCAGCACCAACCTCTCTACAGTGTCCTTTCAAGTAGTTGTAGAGAGTGATGAGGTCTCCCCTCAGCCTCCTCTTCCTCATACTAAACAGCCCCAGCTCCTTCAGCCGCTCTTCATGTGATTTGTCTTCTAGGCCCTTCACTAGTTTCGTTGCCCTCCTCTGCACTCGCTCCAGCACCTCCAGATCTCTCTTGTATTGAGGTGCCCAAAACTGGACACAACACTCGAGGTGTGGCCTCACCAGTGCTGAGTACAGGGGCACAATCACCTCCCTACTTCTGCTGGCCACACTATTTCTAATACAAGCCAGAATGCCGTTGGCTTTCTTGGCCACCTGGGCACACTGCCGTCATTTTGCTGTCATTTTATCTTTACAGTCATTTTCCAACATGCTGTAAAATCGTGCGGTAAATGTGTTGAAGGTGAAGTCTCTAAGAACACGTTTCCCACCACACTTGAATCTTTTCTTCTTCCATAGAGGCAGAACTTGCTTATTGACCGCAGTCCTTTGCATACTCTACGCTCTGTGTTCCTGTGCTGGTCTATAAGTGTTCATAGAATCATAGAACCATAGAATTGTCTAGGTTGGAAGAGACCTTTGAGATGATCTAGTCCAACCATCAGCCTAACTGATTAAAAACCCATCACTAACCCATGTCACTAAGCACTATGTCAACCCGTCTTTTAAATACCTCCAGGGCTGGAAGTTCATATTTGGGTTAAATTATTTTCCTATGTTTTTGCCCTCTTTTGAGAGCTCCAGTTGATTATGGCTGACTTTTTCCCCACAGTTTCACCCCTTGGCATTCAGTTCCAGCAAGAGGAAAGAGAGGAGGAATAGAGAACTTGGCTTTGTCCACCTTGTTTCAGACACCGCTAAGCACTGGAGGGATCACAAAAGCACATCTGTCAAACAAATAATAGCAAACCTCCTTTGTTTCACGGAGCTTTCCAGAACAAACACTTTGCATAAGACCATACAAAAGGCCTTTTGTGTTTGGTTCAGGTGGTGGCAGGAGACAATTGAAGTCCCCGTAACCTTTAAAACTTTTCTTTCCTGTAGCACCAGAGGTTGCATCAAATTTATTCTATTAAAATGCGTCAGTTACAATTAGAAACTCACTGTTTCCATGTTGACAATGGTGCCAATCTATAGATAATTAAAATGTTCTCCTCATCGTACATAAGCAGGGAGGGAGCTGGTTGGAGAATTTCAACCTTAATGTGAAAGCAGTCAGAAATTTCATGTAAACACAGTCAAATACACTCTTCATCTAATGCCTGTTCTCTCTCTGTTCCCACAGCTGGCGTTAGATACTCGATTCTGGACCTGGATGAACCACTTTGTCATTTGGGGCTCTCTGGCCTTCTATGTGTTTTTCTCGTTCTTTTGGGGAGGAGTCATTTGGCAAGTATCTCTTCTTCTTCTTCCAGTTGGGTTTTCTGAGGGGAATGCCCGGCGCTGGCTTTGTGGGGGGATGTGGCTACAGTTGTCACCTCGTTTGGGCTCACCAGAGATTCTCCACTGGTGTCCAACCGTGCTCCATTCCCTACCGGGGTGGGAAGGGATGATACCTCCACCCAACACCTACTAAAAGTCGGTGGAAGAGGGCTGTTGCATGCTGAGATGTGTTCCAGGAGGTCCATCAGCCTATTGAAGAGAGAGCCCAAAAGCAGATAACTCCCAGGTGCTTGGATTTGGCAAGAGACAATTTGCTTTTCTGCCCACGGGGTCATTTCTGATGCCAAAATGACCTTGGTTCTTGTCTGGTTCTTACCTTAATTGAGGAGTTTTGGGGTAAATATTTCAGCATCTGTGCACGAGGGTGGGAATGAAAGGAAAAATTGATGGTGGAAAGAAAGCCAGTGATACAGAAGGAAGAGATGAGGCAGCTGCAGAGCAAGGGGACCCAGCGCTCTGGGGCAGCTTAACAGAGAGAAATAAGCAGGAGAAAACACAGATCTTCCTGCTGAAATGTTGGATCTGAGTAGGAGAAGAAATTCTCATTGATTTCAGTGCAACCAGGATTAATTTCCTGCAACAGCAGTAGTACCTTACAAATATTATTAGTTTTCTATTTCCCATGCTGGAGTAGACATTCACATTGACTTTCACAGTAGACAGCATCTCCCATTTTATACCTTGCCTTTCCCATGGGCTAGTGCCATGGTTTATGGGCTACATCCTTGACCCAGCAGCCTGCTAATCAAGATGTGGGACTGATTTAAATATTTAAACTGGGGGCCACGGGCTTTGTTTAACTCTTCAGCCCATCCTAACCAACAGATAGTGGTCTGCGATGTAGCCCGATCTCTGTGCTGAAATACAGGAGTTTTCTACTGGTGTGTTTAATTTGCTTAGCTCAGTATTTCCGAGTTAATGCTAAGCAGCAACTGCTTTGGGATCCTTAATATCAGTTATTTATGAGGCATTTTTCACACACATCTGTTGGTTCCCCTCCATCATCAAGGGAGGGAGGAAGAGACAAAGAATCTGTTGGGACCGAGAGTCTCTGGATTTCCACCATCAAAAGCAAACCAGAAGCCATAGCAAAGTCCAAATTTGAAATAAAATGAAGTGGTTTTTGACAAGGTGAATAATTTACCTTTTGGTGATAGTAGCAAAATTGGTGGTGGTGTCAAACACTAGCATGTTTCTGTGCGGGCTGCATCCAGCTCCATCTGAAAGGGAAGTGTTACTGCTCATAGTTTGATCTGAATCTGCCTTTGATCCTGACCTTCTTGGGAATTCCACATTAACCAGAATTTTATTTGTATCCTTTCTTTTTCAGGCCTTTCTTGAAGCAGCAAAGAATGTATTTTGTATTTGCCCACATGCTGACTTCTGTTTCCACGTGGCTGGCAATAATTCTCCTGATCTTTATCAGCCTTTTCCCAGAAATTCTTCTAATAGTTTTAAAAAGTATAAAAGAGAAAAGTCATCAGGTAAGGAACAAGATAATGTATTTATAGTATTTTTAGGAAGACCTCTCTTAAGCACCAGATGAATCTGTCACAGTACTGCGTACCGCTCACATCTCGAGGAAGGCTTTCTAGAGTCTCATCTTGCTCTTTCACATGCCAGAAATGTCAAGAAGCTCATCTAAAAATACTGCCTAGATCTGTAGGGAGGAGAGACTCAGCCTGTGCCTTTCCTTAGTTGCCTTCAGTGGATGCAAACCGTAAAGTCTCTCATAAAAGTACAGTGACCCTTTTCCAACTGGAACTGCTCCTCAAACCCACCATATTATCTCCTGAAAAAAACCTACTTCGTTTTGTGCCAAAAAACAAACCCCTGATGTTCCCCTTGGGTATGTCCTCGGATGCTGGTGCAGGGGAAACAGAGTCCTGTCATATTTACCCACCCCCTGTAATAACTGGGGGCTTGTGCCCTGACTTCAGCCTGCAGTGTCTGGCTCTCCTCAGAAGCAGTCTGGTTTCTCAACAGCTTTCCCCTGCTGCTGAGGAGGACTCCTTTTAAAAGTGTAAACCATGGAGTCATAGAATGATTTGGGCTGGAAGGGACCTTAAAGACCATCGAGTTTGAACACCCCTGCCCTGGGCAGGGACACCTCCCACCAGACCAGGTTGCTCCAAGCCCCCTCCAACCTGGCCTTGAACCCCTCCAGGGATGGGGCAGCCACAGCTTCTCTGGGCAACCTGGGCCAGGCTCTCACCACCCTCACAGCAAAGAATTTCTTCCTGAGATCTCATCTCAATCTCCCCTCTTTACATTTAAAACTGTTCCCCCTGGTCCTGTGGCTCCCCTCCCTGATCCAGAGTCCCTCCCCATCTCTCCTGGAGCCCCTTTAGGGACTGGAAGGGTCTCTAAGGTCTCCACAGAGCCTTCACTTCTCCAGACTGAAGCCCCCCAACTCTCTCAGCCTGACCTCACAGCAGAGGGGTTCCAGCCCTCCCAGCATCTCTGTGGCCTCCTCTGGACCCATTCCAACAGGTCCACGTCCTCCTTGTGTTGGTGGCCTCGGAGCTGGAGGCAGCACTTGGGGTGGGGTCTCCCCAGAATGGAGCAGAGGGGCAGAATCCCCTTCCTCACCCTGCTGGGGATGCAGCCCAGGATGTGGTTGGCTTTCTGGGCTGACAGCAAACGTTGGTGGCTCATGTTGAGCCTCTCATCCACCAACACCCTCAAGTCCTTCTCCTCAGGGCTGCTCTCTTCTCCTGAAAGTTTTCTTCCTCACTGCTGCAAATGATGAATGCCAGCACTGCCGGGCTCAGGACTCACTCTGTGCTGAGATCCCCCCCTGTCCCTTGCTCTCTGCTCTCCTGGAGATGCCCAGCATCCCTGCAGCATCATCCCTGTGCCTCCCCTCCCTCCTGCAGCCCCTCTTTTCCCCCGCAGCACCAGCAGGCATTGCCCACTGCCCTCAGCCTCTTGCCATCGGGTTTCCATGTCCCTAGGCAGTGGTAGGGCAGGGGTGAGGTCTCCCCAGAGCGGAACAGAGAGGCAGAATCCCCTTCCTCACCCTGCTGGCCACGCTGCTGGGGGTGCAGCCCAGGACGTGGTTGGCTTTCTGGGCTGCCAGCACACATTGTTGGCTCATGTTGAGCTTCTCGTACACCAACACCCTCAAGTCCTTCTCCTTGGGGCTGCTCTGTTCTCCTGAAAGTTTTCTTCCTCACTCCTGCAGATGATGAATGCCAGCGCTGCCGGGCTCAGGACTCACTCTTTGCTGAGATCCCCCCTGTCCCTTGCTCTCTGCTCTCCCAGAGATCCCAGCATCCCTGCAGCATCATCCCCGTGCCTCCCCTCCCTCCTGCAGCCCCTCTTTTCCCCCTGCAGCACCAGCAGGCATTGCCCACCACCCTTAGCCTCTTGCCATCGGGTTTCCATGTCCCTAGGCAGTGGTAGGGCACAGCCAAAGGGACACGGGGCCACCGCTGCCGGTGTGGGGCCACCAGGGTGGCTTCCAGCTGGGTGCCACGGCTGCAGGGTTTGGCCAGGGCAGAGGTGGCTTCTGCCCTGCCAACCATGCCCTGGACCAGCAGCCTGGTACTGGCAGACCAGTGCCCAGCTGGTCTGACCCTGTCCCAGGAAACCATGGGCTGACCTTCCACATAATGAGGTGAGCTTCTCCTTGAAGCTCCTGTACACCCTGAGGTTTCTGTGCATTTTCCTCACGTGGGATAACTTGGTATCTTTGATCCTTATCTAAAAACGATAGTTATCTCAATTAAAAAAAAATTTAAAAATCCAATGAAGTAGTAAAGATTTTCCTCTCCCATAACATTTGAAGTACAAGTTTGGCAGAGCATCAGTGAATTAAAACATGTATCTGCAAGACAAAAAAAAAAAACCAAACAACTCAAAACGTTAAAGATGAAAGCAATAGAGGTGGTAAAAGAAATGTGGTTGAATTCTTTGAGGCTCCATGTAATTTATTCCAATTAAGTATGATTTGAATGATTTCTGGCTTGATGCCCCTGTGGAACAGGCTGGGAGCGAGTTGCTCTCAACTGTGGACATAGGGCAGTTCAAAGAGCTGTAAAATGGTAAAAGTTGGAGGGGACCTTAAAGACCATCCAGTTCCAACCCCCTGCCCTGGGCAGGGACACCTCCCACCAGACCAGGTTGCTCCAAGCCCCCTCCAACCGGGCCTTGAACCCCTCCAGGGATGGGGCAGCCACAGCTTCTCTGGGTGAAGTTGTGGACAGTTTGAGGACAGTGACCTGGAAGAGTGACCTGGGGTTTCTGAGCCTCAGCTCAACTCACCCGAGAGGTGACCCATTTTTGCCTTCAGCTGATGGCCAGAAGATCCATTCTCTCTTACTTTCTCTTGCTTTCAGAAGCGCTTTGTACGCGTGAAAAAAGGCTCCTGTGAAATCATTTAGCAAAGCAAAATAAGTGTTGACTAGAAAAGTTCCTAAACACAGGCTGAGCAGCATTGAAATGTACATTTTGAGTAAGAGCCTCATAAAACGCCTGAAGCAGACACACCAGCTCCAGATGTCTGTGTTGGCAGTCAGACACCGTAGTCAGACACCTCATTTTTAAAGGTATCCAAGACCAAGTACATGATTTCGAGTCAAGACCCTTTTTGAGGATCCTGACCTTAATATTGGACAAAAAACCAACATCATTTTCCCAAAGGGAGCATTTAGTGACAAATGAGATTAAGGTAGTTATTTAGGTGCCTCGATGGCCCTTGACCCCAACCTTGACTCACCCCAAGTCCCTATAATGCAATGCATTGCCTTTGCTCAGTCTTTATTAAATTTTCTTTGTGGAAGTTTTCTTTTTTTTTTAGTTTGGTGGTTGTTTTTTTTTTAATTGCAAGGCGCATCTGTGTTTTCCTTGGTTTCTGCCTTTCTCTCTCTTGTACTGCAATTTTCTGTCTTTTGTGCTGTTGTGAACTAGGTAACGAAGCGCCTTCCTTCCTCAGGAACATCCACTATCTTCATGCTTTCTCAAACTTCCAGCAATCACAGCTTTTCTTGGAGTGAATAAGGTGATTTCCTTTCCCAGTCTCTCTACGTTGCTTGCTCTACTGCTTTTTTTTCCCTCCTCGTAACGCCTAACTCCTGAAAACCCTTGTCTAGATTTGCTTGCCCAGCAAAACACTGCTTTACCTGCCCTTTTGCTTTAATTTAAATCTTTTGCTTAAATGTTTTGTCTGTCTCTTCCCCTTGGGTCTCCTGTTGCCTCTCAGGTGGGTGAGCTGGGGATGTCCCAGTGAGGTGGACACTGTAGTGGACTGGACACAAGCTTCTCTAAGGTGGACTCGATTTTGGTCATCCTCTGGATGCCCTGGCAAACAGCTCAGGCTTGTATGGTCTAGGAGGAGCTCCCCAAGTGCCCGTCTTGCCCAGTTCATCCCAATTAATGTTCTTTGTACAAGCAAATGAGCCACTGGACTCAACTGGCGCAACCAGGCCTAGTCTTGGACTTGCTGACCATGGGGACGGTGGGTAGGCCAGAGCCAAGCGCCTCAAAAACATGTCCCCGCTGTTTGGTTTCACTGCCAGATCTCCCATCTGACTTCCTTTTTTTCAAAATGTTGGTTGTGAAGAGCTGGAGGATGGTTTCTTCCATCCTCGGAAGCAGCTCCTGCCTTCCCACCGTGCCTCTTGCACTGCAAGACCCAGCCAGTGTTGACCACCGTGGTGTTCAGGGGGGGTGTATTGCTACATCCCTTAGTGAAATGATGCGATTTAGCCGTGAAAAGGGGTGTGTGTACGTGTCTTCTGCTGTTCCACCGTGAGGCAGGGGTGGGTGTTATAAGTCTTTTTGCCTCGCTGTTGCAGAGCAGCAGGAAGGTGCCTGATTCATTGTCGGCCAGACCTTCCGTCAGACCACTTCTTTTAAGAACGTTCTCAGATGAGTCTAATGTGTTGTAACAGGTACCCTGTCCGAAGAAGTTGGGATGGTTTTAAAAGGCATCCATTAACCAAATCAATTAAACTCTGGTTCTTCGTAACCCTCTTGACTGTCGGTGTGGGGCACCTGTCCTTGTGGAATGGAGATGCAATGCTTGGGATGCATTTTAATTTGGGAGACGTTGTCCTACCTGCAACCTCTTTGGGATCCTGTATGTCTATGGATCCTCTCAAACTAAAATATTTTGTCATATGTAAACAAATCTTTTAATATAACCCGTATTTTAGCCTAATATTAGCAGACAGCTTAGAGAATACAGTCGGTGAGTTGTGCCGACCGTGGCTGTAAAAGCCAACACCGATGTGTTTACAGTGAAGTCCTCAAATCCCAGCTATTGAAATGATTCCAGTATTGCATCTGAACGGTACCAAAGTCCCTTTTTCTAGGGTGCATGCTGGTCTGTCGAGATAGAAATAAGTACATTTTAATTCATCTGCATAGAGCGGAACTAAACGTGTGTACTTGTGTGTGTGTGTGTGTGTGTGGACACGCGGTGCGGCGGGCATGTCTCCGTGTCTGTATGTGTTACGTACACACACCGAGAGCATCCTGCCACGACTTCACTTGGTTTTAAACATCATAGTAAGCTGATAGAATAATATAATAAAAATAAATATGTAAAAGTGCCAAATTGAATTCACAACTTCCCTTTTTAGTGAGATGTTTTGTAGCTCTGCGGTTTTGGCCGCAAACGCAAAACTACAATTTTTTTTCTGCAAACCTCTCCTGCCTTTGTACCTGCTCCTACTTCTAAAGAAATTGGATTATTTGGAGCAGCGGGTCCAACAGCCAGACTTGCCAGAGCTCGGAGTGTATCCGGATTAAATCCAGGATTCTGCTTGCCCAGGAGCTGCCGAGCGGCCGTTCCTTCCCCATGGACATTAGGTGGTGCTCTCCACTGCCATAACTGGTGCTGACTGGTGCAGGAGGTGGCCGGAGGGGAGCTGCAGGGGACAGCGAGGCAGAAACCAATTTTAGGTGTTTTACAGCATTTTGCAGATTGTGCGGATTGATTTACCATCTCATTGTTCCTTCCCTGGTTGTGAATGAGATTTGGCACTTTTATCACGCTCTGATCATTCTTCTTCTATAAAACTTTCAGTATTTTTTTTTCCTAAAAATAACCCGGAAAAAAGGTTTATGAGTTTGGGAATGTAACAGCTGAAAAACGTGTGTGTTTTCCTTCTGATTTTTGCAGACTGGCCCCTTTGATCTGCCTATGTTAATCTCATACAAACGTATAGAGAATGGTTATGTGAAGACTGAAGATGCTGTTACTAATTTGGCAGAAAGATGTCCTCTCAGGATACTTTAAAGTGCTCTCCGTACAAACACTGCGCGTTGTCAGGCTGTAGGCAAAAACCCCTGGGTTTAACCTGACAGTCCTCTTTGATATTACCAAGGACAGCAAGCAGCCCTGCTGATAAAGCAGTAGCCAGGGCACTGGCCCCACAGTACCCCTTTGAGCTTGTGGCTTCCCCACCCCTCCAAAACAAAACCCCTAAATCTGCCACTTTCTACATCATTGGAGGCTGAGAAAGCATCTTTAGGAATTCCTCATTAATTCCTCCTGAAACAGCATGAACTGAAGTGCTGAAGAGCAATGCCAGCCCCGTTTCATACAGGGAGGTGGGGGTAGGGGGGGGGCTTCCTCTGTCCAAGAGCAGCAGGGAGCTGCTGAAATCTCTTGCTCTGCCTGACCAAAGAAGTAGCACAGACTTTAAACCCAGTGACAGCCCTCCCTGGCTCCCCGAAAATGGTGGGGAGAGCCCCCTCTTCTCCCTCAGAAGCTGGATGCAGCCCCGGGGTCCCCCTTTGTCTTTGAGCTTGTGGCTTCCCCACCCCTCCAAAACAAAACCCCCCAAATCTGCCACATTCTACACCATTGGGGGCTGAGAAAGCATCTTTAGGAATTCCTCATTAATTCCTCCTGAAACAGCATGAACTGAAGTGCTGAAGAGCAATGCCAGCCCTGTTTCATACAGGGAGGTGGGGGTAGGGGGGGGCTTCCTCTGTCCCAGAGCAGCAGGGAGCTGCTGAAATCTCTTGCTCTGCCTGACCAAAGAAGAAGCATGGACTTTAAACCCAGTGACAGCCCTCCCTGGCTCCCCGAAAACGTTGGGGAGAGCCCCCTCTTCTCCCTCAGAAGCTGGATGCAGCCCCCCGAGCATCTCGCCCGGTGCCGGGGATGGGACCGACCCGTCGGGGGGTGGGGGGCTGCCCCCTCCCAGCCCTGTTTTGCCGGATGCACGTGGAAGAAATACTTGAAAACTGGGGAGAAATCTTCGGTGATGGTGTGGAGCCTTCAGTTGTATCCCTGCTCTGGGCAGGGTGGTACCCGCCGCGCTGGGAAGTGTCGGAGCATCCTCCCACTGCCGGTTCCCTGATGGGTTTATTGCTGATGGAGAGTGAAGAAAAGGTCATTTTTCCCCCCTTCCCCGTGCCGTGTTGTGGCTGTTGGTGATGGAAAGAAGCTCCAAAGCTGGGCAGGCTCCTGTGGTTGTGCTCACGTTGCTGCCCTGTGCAGTTGTCTCAACACTTTAAAGGCCTGAGTGCCAGCGCGGTCCCTGGAGCATCCCGGGGACACGGCCTGGGGACCTGCAGGTGTGTCAAACTGCATCTTGAGTTATTTGCACTAAGGAAAAAGAAGCCGGTTTAAAAAAAAAAAAAACAAAACAAAGAATACACGAACCTGATTTCATTTTGCATTTTATTTGGTTTTTAAATTGGCGTGTTCTTTTTAAATCTACCTGTACCATGGTCCAAAACAAAAACAAGGAATACACAAACCTGATTTCATTTTGCATTTTATTTGTTTTTTAAATTGGCATGTTCTTTTTAAATCTACCTGTACCATGGTCGTGGAAACTTTTCTCTTCAGGTTGTGCCCAGCAGAGGTGAGATACCTGACTCGTGATTTTATTTTATTGTATTATTTTTATTCTCTGATATGTGGAAAAAGCAGTTTTCTTTGCCAAGTGATAAATGGAGCACCCCGTGTGCCACCGCCGTGGGGTGTGAAGGTCCCCCCCACATCGAGGGGCACAGAGGAACGACTGTGAGAAGCTCTTGGGGTCTCATTCCAGCCCTAACGAGCTCTGTGCTGCTGCTGGGTTTGGCTCCCGCTCACCTGCGGGCAAAGAAACAGCAATTTGGGACTGGATGGAACATTCCCTTCATCAGATTTTTGCCGAACTATTAATTTTGGGAAGAATTGAGCCTGGCTCTCCAGCTGCCACCCCTGAGGCCCCGTCTGGTGGAAGCAGGATGCGGATCAGCTGGCGTGTCATCGTTAGGACTTTGCTAATTGGGCTTTATCCGAGCAGGAAGGGGGTCCCTCTGGCCGGTGGCTGCTCTCCTGTCACCCAGCACAGGAAGGGACATATGGACAGGAGGTATGGACAGGACCACTGTATTATAGACACTGCACTGGCCTCACCCCAAGTGCTGTTCCCCAGCACCGTGTTCTCCACCGCGGCTCGGCTCCTTGCTGCATGCAAGTAAGGAGCTGCACTTCCAGCATGTGTCCCATGGGCAAAGCTTTTCTTTTTTTCCTTCTTTCTTCTTTTTTTTTTTTAACTTTTCCCACCTCATTTCCCGGACCTAGACTTCGACTTGCAGACCTTGTCCCCGTCCTCGACTTTTTCTTGCTAAAATGTGGTGCCTACAGCTCACGTGCGCGATGAATACGATGAAGATCTGCTCTCTATGCCAAATCCTTAACCCTTCTCCTTAAATCTACACTTGCTGACTTGTGTTTACATAACCTTGAAAAAACGGGGTGCCGAGATGCCCCCATTCCTGTGATTCAAAACCATTCCAAGCCCAAAATGGTCCCAAGCCTGACTCCTGGGGTTGCTTTGTGTCCTGCTCTACTCCGAAGGTCGGAGGCCGTTCCAGGGAGATCCAGCTGGAGGTTTTGGAGTTTTTTGGCTGTTGGGGTTGGTGGGAGCAGTGTGTAGGTAGGTGCAATGTGTGACCTGTCCCGATGAGGCCACTCAAACGGGCTCGTTTCTGCAGCCTTTTTTTCAGACGGAGCCCTCCAGGAACCAAATCTTTCCCTTCCCCTTTCTGAGAGTTCCTGTCTGAGGATGGAGCAACCCGTCGCCCTCCAAACCCAAGGCACGTCTGCTGACAGGAGGGTTGGAATTAAGGTGAAATGTCTCGAAAAGGAGTTCTTTTGGGGGGGAAAACGCAGGTTTTCTTGGGCTTGGATCTTTGGGTAGTGCCCTGGAGCAGCAGAAGAGCTGATCCTCCTCCTTCAGCCGTGGCAGAAGTGACATTCTCATTGCCTTGGGTGACTTGGGAAATGGAGGGCAAGAGGAGAGCCCTTTTGAGGGGTTGGAGAAGGGGAGAAAAAGCAGTGATGGTGACAAAGGTGTGATGGAGGTGGCGGGGATCCAACAGTGATGCTGTGATTGCTGTCCCTGCGCCCCGATAACGCGCCGCGCCGTTGGGGTGCTGCTGAGCGAGCTCAAAGGTCAGTACAGGCTTTTCGGTGGAAAAACTTGAAGGAAAAAAAAGGCTGGGTTTTGTTTTTCATGCTAATTTTCATGATAGTCAGTTTAATCACTGGCTAGCGACACTGAAAGATAAGAAAAGTAATTAAGATTCCCCTCTAAAACCTTCTAAAAACGAAGGAACTTGGTGTAGTCATAGCTGCTTCTCAAAAAACTAACCCTAATTATTATGAGAATGTTATAAATGACTTGGAATCGCATAAAAGCTTCAAATTGAATTCGTATACACACAGTTGAAAAAACTTTTCCTAACACTGCACCATTTATCCAGTTTCCCAGCTATGGAATAATTTTTTTTTTATTTTTTTTTTTTTGAAACCATGTAGTACATAGAAAGTGTAAATTATATACAGGCAATGAGAAGATACATTTTGCAGCTTCTTGCAAAAAAAAAAAAAAAGAAAAAAAAAGAAAAAAAAAAAAAGGACTGCAACCTTACATTTTTTTCACTTAAATGCAATTTTATACATTTATGTTGCTTTATATAAAGGAAATTGAATGTGAATGTTACCTTTTATGAATGCAACTTGCTCTTTTTTCATTACAGAAACTTTTGTTTGAAGTAATCAATAAACTTTGGTATGTTGTTCTGATTAATACATATTTGTTGTCTCGCTTGTCTCCTGGGATGCTCCCAGGCAATAGGTGGGGTTTTTCTGAGGGGGGGACCATCGACGTTTTTGGTGGGGGTGGATGATCCCAGCAGGATCATATGCAGTTCTCTTGACGTGGAGCAGGATTTCCCTAAGGAAACACTTATATATTTTTATTTTTCCCTCAAGGTAGTAGCGATTCTGCTGGTAAGAGCTGCTGCACGTAGCTCTAAACCCACTTCCCTCAAAAATAAAGTCAAATTAAGGAAGGGAGTCCTGTGAATTGAGTGAATTAATTGATTTAACTTTGCAGAAGAGTTGAATGTGGTGTTTTAGTTGACATTCAGCAACTGGGAGAAAATATAATGCAGGTCTGTGTGCCCAAATTCCACGTGTGCACAGAGATATTGTTCTTAGTGCTGTGCATTGGTTCTGTGTGTCCTGGCTACCTGTAATAAATAAGTATTATTTTTTTTTAGTTTCAAAGACAAGATGCACATAAATGAAGATTATTCCGTGGTTTGTAAAGTGCCTGGAGGTGGCGAATATATTTGTATTAATGAGATTCCAGCTGTTAAAGGAAGACTCAGAGAGTTTGTAGAATACACAAGAAAAATATATAGACTTTTCTTTCTTTTTTTTTTTTTCCTAGGACACGGGTCCGATTCAAACCGAAATGTTTGCAATGATGAAAAAAAAACTTGACAGTTTGAAACATTCTGTTTTGGCTGCTTGGATTTGTTCAGCTCCCATGAGGGGCGGGAGGACAGATGGCTGCGCTATTTAAAACAAACTCTAACCTTTAGGAAGCAGCTCGTACTATTGGAAACCAGAGAGGAGCATTGAGGCTCTTAATAGCCCCCGGTGAGGCAGAGTGAAACCCATCCCAGGAGCTGGAGAGGGTTTTGCTCTGGGCTGGCTCCCCGGGCTGAGGGGGTACAAATGTGCTAAACGTAAGCCATGGGAGATGACAGGTCACCAGGTGTTTCCCAAGGCACCAAATTAACACTTAAAATGCCCGTGTCACCCATCATATTAGAAAGGAGAAGCGATGTGGGTTTGGAAGGGGGTTTTTAACAAGGCTAGCCATTTTTTTTAAAGGTCAGGCTGTTGGTGTTGGTGTGGCGGCTCTTGGGCCACCGTGTCCCCATCCCTTCCCTGTCCCTGCTGCCTTTGGGGTTGGGTGCTGCAATCTCTGCAGGTCTGGGGGTTCGAGTTGACAAAGGGCTGAATATGAGCCGGCAGTGTGCCCAGGTGGCCAAGAAAGCCAATGGCATTCTGGCTTGTATCAAAAATAATGTGACCAGCAGAAGTAGGGAGGTGATTGTGCCCCTGTACTCGGCACTGGGGAGGCCACACCTCGAGTGTTGTGTCCAGTTTTGGGCACCTCAATCCAAGAGAGATCTGGAGGTGCTGGAGCGAGTGCAGAGGAGGGCAACGGAGCTGGTGAGGGGGCTGGAGAATAAAATCTTATGAAGAGTGATTGAAAGAGCTGGGACTGTTTAGTGTGAGGAAGAGGAGGCTGAGGGGAGACCTCATCACTCTCTACAACTACTTGAAAGGACACTGTAGAGAGGTTGGTGCTGGTCTCTTCTCACAGGTAATTAGTGACAGAACGAGAGGGAATGGCTTCAAGCTCCAACAGGGGAGGTTTAGATTGAACATTAGGAAAGATTTTTTCACTGAAAGAGTGGTCGGGCATTGGAACAGGCTGCCCAGGGAGGGGTGGAGTCCCCATCCCTGGCTGTGTTTAAGGGCCGTTTAGATGCAGTGCTGAGGGACATGGTGTAGGGGAGGACTTTGTAGAGTAGGGGAGATGGTTGGACTCGATGATCCCAAGGGTCACTTCCAACCCAGACGATTCTGTGATTCTGTGATTCTAAGCTGGAAAATACCTGGGGGCCTGGAGAAAGGGCATGTGTGCACCTGCGTGTGTCTTGTCACAACCCCTGGTTTTGGAAGTTAATAAATAGGGCAGAGAAAAAGGGAGAGTGGGAAAGCAGAGTCCTTTGATGAAACTGGTGTGGGCTTAACTGGTTTCACTGGGGTCAGGATCTCCGTGGAGGCTCTGCTCCTCCTGGACCAGCCTGGAAAGAGCCTGTGCTGGGCGATACCCCAGGATCGAGGGTGATGCTGCCTCACACACATGGAAATCCTCCTAAAATCCCTGTTTATGAAAACCAACCAGAGCTTAATTCCTCTCCTGCACGAGTACTTTTGATGTCACTGTGCTTATTCCGGAGGTGAGCGTTTCCCTTCACCAGCAGTTTGACTCCAAACTCCTGCTCTGTTTTTCCAGTTCCCAGCACCACCATAGAGAAAAAATAAAATCAGAGCCTTTCCTGGCTCGTTTTGCCCGTTGGATTTTGGGCACGAAAGACCAAGCAGGGCTCGGGGGCTGAGCAGGAGCAGGAGGGGCTGGGTGAAGGAGTTGCCTTTAAAAGTCGATGGGGCTAAAGTGATGGTGTGGGGGCAAACAGTTCCCAGCACCACCATAGAGAAAAAATAAAATCAGAGCCTTTCCTGGCTCGTTTTGCCCGTTGGATTTTGGGCACGAAAGACCAAGCAGGGCTCGGGGGCTGAGCAGGAGCAGGAGGGGCTGGGTGAAGGAGTTGCCTTTAAAAGTCGATGGGGCTAAAGTGATGGTGTGGGGGCAAAGGTGTTTGCAGCAGCCTTCCAGGTGGTGTAAAAACGTAGGGTTTGGGCAAGCCAGGGGAAAAACATTGCAATAATTGAGCCTCGGAGTGCTGAGGGCGCTGGGCTGTATCTTGGGGAAATTATCTGGCACCCAGGAGACTGCGTGTAGAGAGGGCTGGATTGAGGGTGACAAATTAAATTAGCCTATTTAACCAGAAGCAATTTTCCCCAGCAACTGCCAGAGGAAGGTTGTTTGGGAAGGAGAGACCAGGAGATGAGGTGGATAGAGCTGATGGTGATGGATGGGCTTTTATTTATCAGAAACCTCTAAGGGAGTGATGTCTCCAGGGATGCCCTGGGGTGGACTCACAGCTCAGCCCCTCCTGCCCGCGCCGTCCCACGCTGGAGGATGAAAGCAGCTGCTTTTGGAAGCTGCAGAAATCAAACCTATGGGTTTGTTGTTTCCCAAGTTATAACAAAAATATATACCGGGGAGAAACAGCTTGATGGTATTAGTCCCATCAGTCTCAAAAAGGTGAGCCCATCCCTGCGAGGCCTCGGGTGTCTGCAGTCGTGTTAAAATGCAGCATTCCGTTCAAAAGCACGTGTTTTTGAAGGGTGATTTCTAAAAACCAAAGAATGGCACCGGTCCCCACAAAACCTTCTAGCCTTTATCTGTTAAAAAAAAAAAAAATGCAGCATTCTGTTCAAAAGCACGTGTTTTTGAAAGGTGATTTCTAAGAACCAAAGAATGGCACCAGTCCCTACAAAACCTTCTAGCCTTTATCTGTTTAAAAAAAGAAAAAAAAAAGGAAAAAAGAAGAGGGTTTTGGATTTTCTTTGAAGGATGTTTTTTTTTTTTCCATCCTCTGATCTGGAATGAATGAAATTAGTAGAAATTCTCCCTTAAAATGCAGCATTCCGTTCAAAAGCACGTGTTTTTGAAGGGTGATTTCTAAAAACCAAAGAATGGCACCGGTCCCCACAAAACCTTCTAGCCTTTATCTGTTAAAAAAAAAAAGAGGAAAAAAAAAAGGAAAAAAGAAGAGGGTTTTGGATTTTCTTTGAAGGATGTTTTTTTTTTTTCCATCCTCTGATCTGGAATGAATGAAATTAGTAGAAATTCTCCCTCCACCTTCTCCCTAAGATTTAAGGATAAGGAATTAGAAAGAAGGAGTGTTTGGATTTTCTTTGAAGGGTTTTTTATTTCCAGCCTCTGATCTGGAATGAATTAAATTAGTAGAAATTCTCCCTCCACCTTCTCCCTAAGATTTAAGGATAAAAAATTACACCCAGATGGAATAAAACTCTGCAAACGGAGGTGCTGGCAGGATTTCCCCAGCTGCAGACAGATGTGTGTGTGCCACTCCGAGGGTGGGAATTACACACAGATGGAATAAAACTCTGCAAATGGAGGTGCTGGCAGGATTTCCCCAGCTGTAGGCAGGTGTGTGTGTGCCACTCCGAGGGTGCTGAACAGCGTTATGGGCCTGGGTGGGAAATGCCTGAAAAAGAAAAACCCACGTTTCTGGCTGTTCCTGGTTCCTTTTTATCCATCTCCTCGTTCCCTCTGCTGGTTCCTTGGGCAGGCAGGGAGTCACGCTGGTCTCTGGAGGAGACAGAGATGCCAAACAGCTTCTGCCAGCCCAGAACACGAGCAGCCGGTGCCGCTGCTGGAATAGCCGGGCGTTTATCAGGAGATGCCCAGGAGGAGAGGCTGGAAGCAGCCAGTTTTCCAAAACAAGACTCTTTGTGGCCGTTCAAGCTTCGGAAAGATGGGAAGGAGAAGCCGTGACCAATGATCCCTTTGAGTTGGAGCACACGCAGCTTTTCCGTGCCGAGAGGCTCCGATGCGGCCTGGTGCCAGCTGAGCTTGGGATGTTCCCACCTGCTCCAGAGCCAGCATTAACCCTCTTCTCTTCCCTTCAGAGAGCAAGAAATGGATTCATTGCCAAACCTCAGGGATAACGTAGCTGTATCTTCCACTGGGTAGCTTTATTTTCCCTGAAAATGGTGCTAGAAGGGGGCATTTATCACTCCGGTCCTGGGTGCATCCTCTGAGCAGCAATAGAACAAAAAAAAAATAAAACAGAAAATCATCTATCCAAACTGTGAAGTCAGTGAGGATCTGCTGTGTCACAAACAAGGAGTACTACCCCGAATGTGTAGTTTTTTCCTTGAAAAATTCTCTATCAGTGTAAGAAGGGAGGTGGTCTACCGAAGGACAGTGTTTTTCACGCTGCCGCTGTTAGACCTCGGGTCCTAAATTAATAGCCCCGACTGCTGAAGTGTTGGAAAAAGACTGCTATTATATAGTAAGGAGCATAATTAAAAGGCTGTTTTGGAAAAACAGGAACATCCACTTCTCTGTGCTGCTTTCCTGGGCAGCTCAGGCTCCTCTCGAGGATGAGCTGGCATCGTTTGAACCTCGGCATCGGGGAAACTGAGGAGGCTGATGGGTCAGGCCAGTGGTGTGCTGAGGGTTCTGCCCAGCCTTGGCCTCAGCAGGGCTTGATGTAGGTCTCACAGGAGTTTGCTAAAGGATTAAAACACTTTTTTTTTTTTTTTTTGCCCCCTCTGAGAGAAGTGTGATAGGCACTGGGGCAGGGAGCGGCTCCAGCTGCAGGGTGGTGTGCTGGGAGACACTCCCAGAGCAGTAGGAAAGCTAGAAAATAAAAATAAGAAAGGGAAAAAAAGTTTAAAAGGGAAAAGAAGGGGTAAAATGGGGAGAAAAAGGGAGGGGGGAAAGAAATAAAAAAGCCAAGGAAAAGAAAAAAAGGGGGGAAAATGGAAAAGGAAGAAGGAAGGAAGGAAAAAATAAAAAAGGAAAATGGAAAGAAGTGGGGAAAAGGGGAAAAAAGGAAAAAATAAAAAAGGAAGACGGAAAGAAGTGAGGAAAAGGGGAAAAAAGGAAAAAATATAAAAGGAAAAAGAAAAACGGGAAGAAGCAGGGGAAAGGGAAAAAGGAGAGGGAAGGGAAAAAGGAAAAAAGGGGGGGAAGGGAAAAAGGAGAGGGAAAGGAAAAAAAGGGAAAAAGGAGAGGGAAGATAAAAAGGAGAGGGAAGGGGAAAAAAAGAGGATAAAGGAAAGGGAAGGGAAGGGAAGGGAAAAAAGGGGAAAAGGGGGGTAAGGGAAAAGGAGAGGGCGGGGGGAAAAAAAGGGAAAAAGGGAAGGGAAAAAAGGGAAAAAAGAAAAAAAGGAAAAAAGAAAAATAAAAAAGGAAAAATGGAAAAAAGGGGAAAAGGGAAAAGGGGAAAGAAAAGGGAAAAAAAGGGGGGGAAGAGGAAAAAAGGAAAAAAAGAAAAACAGGGAAAAAAAGGAAAACAAACAGAAAAAATAAAAAAAAGGGGGAAAAAAGGAAAAGGGGGTAAAAAAGAGGGAAAAATAAATTTAAAAAAGAAATTAAGAAAAAAAAAAAAAAAGTTAAATTAAGAAGTGGCGGCAGGCGGGGTTTGGTTGTGGGACCCGGCTACGTTCAGCGCATGGTGACTGGGTGCTATGGGCAGGCAAGGGCAAGGGGGGCGGCGAGGGCCGCTCTCCAGGGCTGCCCCCTCTCCGCTGGTGGGTGTAACG